TGAAAGTTTTTTTTGCTTAGTTTGATATGAAGTCATACTTGAAATGCCATGGATGAAGCAACATAATTTGGAGTTAGATTATAGAAGAAAAGTGATAATAAGTAGTGGTTGGAATATTTATGGAAATAAAATTAAACCTCACACTAGTAATTTCTTCATCTTTGTGATAGATAAAACATCATTTACAAATGATGATTAATGTTTCCTTGAATTTATAAGAGATATTGTATCCACTTGACAAATTTACATTTTGAATTACTTTAGAGATATTTTTATGGATAAAAAGATATTTTTTAATATGATCTACCTACATTATTATCATCAAAGAGTCAAATAGATCACAAGATTGAACTAATATCTAAAAGCATACAAACATGAAAAGTTCTGTATTGTTTGGCTATAAACAAATTGGAAGAATGTAAAGTTCAAATAAAATAAAGGTTTAGCAAAGGATTTATTCAACGAAGAGTTTTATCTTATGAAATTCCATTGTTATTTGTAAAGAAAAAAGATGTACCATTAGAATATGTCTCAAATATTATGAGTTGAAACATTAAAAAGTGAAAACAAATATCCATTACCTTGTATTGATTATTTGTTTGATCAATTTTAAATAATAATGTACTTCACCAAACTAATTTAAAGAGCGGCTACAATCATATTTAAATTACAGATGAAGATATCTACAAGATTGCTTTTTGTTCTAGATATGATTTTTTTTTTAAATCTACTGATGCATTTTGGTTTCATTAATGCAATAATTAGATTCATAAAATAGATGAACAATATCTTTTGTTCTTATCTAAATAATTTTTTTATTAGTGTTTTAATTGATACATTCGTGTATAGAAAAACTTTGAGTGATTATAGTATTAAATTACAAGAATTCCTTCAAGTTTTGAGAGAATGTGAATCTTTTGTTTAATCTTCAAAGTGCAAATATGACAAGTTAGAAATAGATTACTTGGATCATATAATTATAATCGTAGGAATTCAAAAAAAGAATAAGAAGATAAAAAACATTTAGAATTAAATAAAAATTTAGTATTTTATTTAATTATTAAGTTTTCTAGATCTCATTGGATTTTATTATAGATTTGTGAAAGGTTTTGACCAAAACCGTTCACAAATATTGAGAGATAACCTTTCATCTGTCTAGCTCAGACACTAACATCCATAATAGAAAAATGTCAAAAATAAAAATGGATGACAGTTCAAGAATTAATGTTTAAAGCATTGAAAAATGATTTGTTACACACATCTATTCTCAAATGGTATGATTTTACGAGCTTTATCAAGTTGACTATTAACACATCATTTATAATTGTGAAAGTCATACTTCAACAATAACGGAAGAATGTATGGTATTCAATTTTCTTAAATTTTTGAAAGTTAGTGGCGGCATAATAAAATTATCACACAATAGAATAAAAGTGATAAACCATTGCGTTGGCAACAAAACACTAGAAATATTACTTGAATGATAAGAAGTTTGTGGTTGAGATCAATTATAAATTTTTGGTTCATTTGAAAATTGAGAAAAATCTGTCTAAATAACAAACTCAATCAAAAGAGTAGCATCAACACTTCAATAAGAATATAATGTATGTGGAAGTCAAGAAATAACTTGTGAATGCTTTCACATGCATGGTTTTTTAAATCATGTTGCAGAAATGAAAATTCAAAGTAATTGATGAAGCAAGATGATAAAATCTACAAAGTAGATGAAAAAATCATTAGAGCACTACAAAAAAGTAAGTTAGAGAAGTCTCTATGTTTGACATTCTATAAATAACGCATATGGATTCCACAAGATAACAAATTGTGTATAATGATTGTAGACAAAAGTCATGATATGTCATATGCTAGTGAAAAAAATTGTAGAGAAAAAACAACAAATGTATTATTGGTCCAAAACAAAAAAACATATAAAGGCTTACGATTAAAGATGTAATGCTTGTCAAAAAAATTGAAATAAGAAAAATATTGATGTTTATTAGGAGTTTCTGCACAGAAATGTGTCATCATGAATCTCATTTGTGAATTATCAAAAGTTTTGTTAGAAAATGATATAGTGATTTTTGTGAACAAATTAAACAAGATGATTTATATTAGATCAATCACACAAACAAATCAACTCCATAACTAGTTCAATTGTATCGGGATGCAATTTTTATGAATTATGCATTAACCAAAGTGTTAATCACAGATAGACTTACTCACTTCACAATTTATTTTGCAAAACTTTGTTTAGTTTTTTCAACAAAACTAATCATATCAATGATTTATTATTTAAATTGTTGGTCAAATAGAACTGTAGAGTATATGCTACAATCATTCTAATATGAATGTTTATAGAAGAAAAAAAAAGTGTAACATACTTTTGAATCTTGTGGAATTTGCATATAAGAAATCTCTTAATGCACTCACAAAAGTATATTTATGTTATCTCATGTACAATGTTCATCCTATTTCTCTTTTAAGTTTGATGCAATTTTTGAAAGAAAAGTAATTTTCAAAGTTGTAACATTCCATGAGTTTGTGAAACATATTCAGGGAGAACAATTTCATGCAAATGAGAAGTTGTTAATAGCTCAAAATTAGCAAAAAACAACATACAAATGTAGAGAGTTCCTTTTGGAATTAAGATATCATGTTTGATAATCTACAATCTAATCATGTTTCTTGTGGTAACATCAAAGTTTAGGCATAGGTTCATTGGTTCATTCTGGATTTGAAATATGTTGGTTAAATGTCTTATAAGTTAAAACTCTTGTCACATATGAAAACAGATTTGGTATTTATGTGTCACGATTGCAAAAATATATAGCATAACCAAAACAAATCATCAACCAACCATCACCACTTCATTTTCTTATATTGATAGTTATCACAAGGATTAGAGAATATACTCAAGAAACATATTTGAGTTCATAAATATTCTAAAGTAGAATATTTGATTCAATGGAAATGTTATCCATAATAGGAATCAATTTGGAATTCAATTGAAAATTTAGCAAATGTATCTTTGATCGTTAAATAGATCAATCCTATGTAGAACAAAAATGTTGCATCTTAAAAATAGAATATTTTATAAACATCTTTAGTTAATTAAAACTAAAACAAATATTATTCAAGATTGAATAGAATAGATGATTGATGTATATCTATAGTGCAATGCGATTAATCTGTGTGTTGATTGAGTGTGTTAGTTCAGAACAATACTCGATCAAACCATATGCTTGTCAATTAAAGATTGAATGTACTCATTAGTGTGATTGTTGAGAATGACAAATTAACAATCTGTGTGCTTGTGAGATATATTTGGAGAAATTTGCTTGATGGGACCCCATCAGAACGTTGATTTGAAGGGACCCAATAAGCTACATTTTATCCGATGGGAACCTTCTGACGGCAATTCAGTCCACCGTCACCGATGTTCTACTGCGAGTTCTTGTAATTGCTTTCAAAACGAGCTACGAAAAACACCAAGGCTCTTTGTTGAAAAGTGAAATGCTCTTCACGGACCAAAATGAGCAACTTACATGATTTCGACCAAGAGATTTAGAAAAAAAAGCAAGGAGTAAGTAGATTATGCCTAAACATTATAACTGTAAAATCATTATGGAACTCAAGAAATTGGACTCTTCCACGATGTAAATTGGGAGCCATGGAAAATCTGATTAACTTAAATTCGGGAAGGAATTTTTTTTTTCATTGAATTGGAAACAAATCAGTTACAAGAACATAACTGTGACCCGTCAGAGTGCTCCCATCGGGTAAAATGGAACTTATTGGATCCCATCAAACAGTCAGCCTTCTGATGAGGTACCATCAAGCAAATTTCTCATATATTTGCAATGTCATCAATGTTTCAAGAATGTATTGGATATTGGAAAAAATGTTTTATTTTTGTATTATATTCAAAATGACTATGTAAATTAGGATAAAAATATTTTGAGTAGATTTATCTCTAATCTCTAGTGTTATAATTGAAATTCATTATAGTTTTTATATCATTATTTCATCAAATCGGATGATAGAATCAAAAGAAGATGATTTGACCTTCATATAAACTAAGATCAATGAATATATGGAACATATTTATAGAGTATTGTACCAAACAAAATATACGTTGTTGATAATATAGAATGAACAAAAGTAATATCCACATAATTTTTCAATTTGAAAAATTTTTCTTTCAATTTAAAAGTTTCACTTGATTATTCACAAGAAATTTATATTTTGTATATTTATTAATATGTTTTAATATTATAAACTCAAAATAGAATTTCAGTAAATTTAATATTATGTAAATTATTGTAGGTGAAAGTTATATTTTGTTCGCTGCATGTAGCAATAAAAAAAGTCAAATATTAGATGATTAATTTTTTTATGCAGCGAAGTAACAATCAGTAAACATGCAAGTGAGTAGATGGATTTTAGTGGATTAATCAAGTTTACTATGTTCAATTTCAGTAACGTTGAAAGTGTTTGCGGTGTGTAACTTTTTTTCCTTCTCCACCAAGCTGGATTATTTATTTTTATTCTGTGTTGACATTTTACTGCACTATAGATATACAAGTTACTTTTTTCTTTCCAGAGATATTGTACTGAGACGAAATTTCTTTCAACTTCCAAATTGTTACATTTCTTTCATTAGATTGATTCTACTAGATATTGGATTCATTATTTATATTCACTTTCTTATCTGACTTATTTCTCTTCTCTATTTCATGCGCATGTTTTCCTTTAAAAAGGATAGTTAGAGATTATTTATTTTATAATTTTCATTCTAAATAACGTTTATCTATTTTGAAGATTTTTCATACTTTACTCACAATATGGGAACTTACTATGTTCAGCATTTTCAACATAAGCATAGTAGGGAATAAAGCTACAAACGACATCAATAATGCAAAAATACCAGTTTCATACCAGCCGCTATAATTCTAAAAAGTACGAAATCAGCAAACTTCACAAATCGTTCGCATCTCCTGACGGAATTTTAGAAACATTCGAAATTTACTGCTGCAATGGTCGGAATGCACAACGACCGATTGCCGTTTACACAAATTCTTATTCCATTGTTGTCGTCGGATTGACAAGCTGCCCATACGTTGAAAGAAGTCGAAATTTCGGCATGATGGAGAACCTGTTGGAAATGGATGCCGCCCTGAAAGTATCATCCGATCTGGGAAGAGAATTGATCTGTGACGGGCCTGAATTGACTAAGGCCCAGGGAGCTATATTCCTTCCACGGACGAGTAAAGTACAAGTAATCTACACTTCAGACCCTGCGTCCTGTGCTCTCATTCCTCTAAACGTCATGCAGCCTGCACTCGTCAGTGTCCGGGTTGGTGACGCAGAATTCCTCCAGAGGGTCTCCGCTGGGCTTGGCCACTCCTGGCCATTGCGCTGCTACCAGATGTGCCAGATCGACCACACGTTGGCTGCACCGTCGAAACACACCACATCCACCAATTAATAAGCTTCACTCGCTCAGGCCCGCCACAAATATGGTACGAAGTGTAGATTGCAGCAACAGCAAATGGCGAGATTAGAGGACACTTATTATCAACTTCCTCCTGCAATGCCATCAGAAGAACCTACAACTCGTGTGTCTACACAAGGATAACGATGCACGCCCCTATGGTGCACACAGAGGTGTCTGTCACGTGACGACTGTAGACACAGTGGAACTTCTTTCTGGTCGTGCTTTATCATTTCATATTAATTTCGTTTCCTTTCATTTCGGTGCAACGAGAACAATCTCATGCCTTCGAGTCGGTAAAACATTCACGAGCTGTATTCAGGAAACGAGGCACACATGAGGAACAGGAGTTCGCAGGAATTTGAGAGACATGCGACACTCGAGAGGATCGGACGGAACGAACCTGTAGCCCCACTCGTTGTCGTACCAGGCCACGACCTTGACCATGTCGTCGCCCATGACCATGGTGAGGGAGGAGTCGACGGTGGAGGAGACGTCGGAGCAGCGGAAGTCGATGGACACCAGGGGGATGTCGCACACGGCGAGGATGCCCTTGAGCGGGCCGTTGGCGGCCTCTCGGAAGGCGTTGTTGACGTCCTCGGCCGTCAGGCCCTTCTTCTCGGTGTTGATCACCAGGTCCACGACGGACACGTTCGGCGTGGGCACGCGCAGCGCGATCCCGTTCAGCTTGCCCTTGAGCTGCGGCAGCACCAGCGACACGGCCTTCGCTGCTCCCGTGCTCGTCGGCACGATGTTCAGCGCCGCCGCTCGCGCCCTCCTCAGGTCCCGGTGCGATGCGTCCAGCAGCCTCTGCGCCAATTCCATTCCATGCACTTCTCAGAAACAGTTTCATCGTCTCTCTTTGGAGTGAGAGATTAATCGAGTCCGGTATCCGCATGGACATGGGCACGGGTGTGGAGGATATAGTGCCCCGATGGGATTCGTGAAACATATCGATGGTCTTTATTGGTTACAGATTAGGCTCAACTTAGGCTCAGCTTACAGGAGGTCCAGGGGATCGGATTGGACACGAAATAATTGCTCACATTTTCAATTGGCATCGTGTGAGAGGGCACAAACCTGGTCTCCGGTGTAAGAGTGGGTGGTGGTCATGGTTCCCTTCACGATTCCGAATTTCTCATCGAGCACCTTGACGAAAGGAGCGAGACAGTTGGTGGTGCACGAGGCGTTGCTGCTCACAGAAAAAACGAAGGATCATTATCTGATTACTTGAGAGCGATCCGACGTGGCACAGACATAGTGAAATCCAGCACACCATGAGCCATTCTGTTCTCTAACATTCACGATGACTGGGAGAGAGAGAGAGAGAGGATGAGCTGGCGGGTCGAGATGGCAGACCTGATAATGTTGGCGACTTCGTGGGAGTAGTCACCCTCGTTCACTCCCATAACGTAGGTGGGAATGTCAGCTCCCTTGGCGGGTGCGGTGATGATCACCTTCTTGGCTCCGGCTTGGATGTGCTTGCCGGCTCCGGGGCCGTCCACGAACACTCCGGTTCCCTACACGCAGATGCCCACGTCAGATGCCCACGTCGGTCACCCAGGCAGCCAGCCAGCCAGAGCCGAGAGCCGAGAGCGTACCTCGATGACGATGTCGATGCCCAGCTCAGCCCACGGCAGCTTCAGCGGGTCCCTGTTGGACACGACGGTGATGGGCTTGCCGTCGACGAGCAGAGTGGTGTCGTCGCCAACTTTCACGTCGGCCTTGAAAATCCCGAGCATGGAGTCGTACTTCAGCAAGTGAGCGGCCTGTCACACGGTCCGAGGACGGGACGCCGTCAGTCGATCGGTGGACGGAGCGCAACGAATGCAGGAACGAATAGATGAACGGACGAACGAACAGACGGACGGATAAGTGGATTGACTTACGTTCTTGACACCGCCGCTGTCGTTGACGGCCACGACCTCGAGGGGCGACTCGTCTCCGCGTCCGTGCCAGCAGCGCAGGAAGTTGCGACCGATACGACCGAACCCGTTGATGGCGACGCGGAGCTTGGCGCTGGTCTCGCCCTTGATGGCTCCGCTGGCGCCGGCCTGTAAACACCCCCGCACAAATTCCCATGTCAGAAAGCGCTCGCAAAGACCCCCTGCCGCGTCTCAGAGTGTGGCGACCCTGCGCTCGGTCGCTCCCAAATGGCAGCGGCTTGGAGCTCGTCCCCCTGACGGATCTCGCCCGGCGGCGGGGCTGCGTGCCTGCTCGTACGGTACTGCGGGCTCTGGCTCGAGCTTGAACTCGTGATCGGAATCGGGATCGAGCTCTGGCACGAGCATTCTTCCTGTTCGGACACGGTCCCAACGAGAGGGTTGGAGTGGGTGCCGACTTCTATTCTCTTCGACTGCTGGACTGGGAGAGAATTGATGTCGTACTCTGTTGACGAGGTTTGTCCCGTCCGGACGAGACTGGAGGGAGGGAATGAACAAGCAGCACTTCTTCGGAGGGGAATTGAGAGGAATGGGATGATGTAATCAATTGGGAATTAAGGCGTGTCTGATCATGACATATTTGACATCCCAGAAAGAATGTAAACAATCAGAGCTCGGGTTCGATAACGAAGCTTCGGAAGGGAGGGAGGGAGTGAGTGAGTTTACACACCTTGACTGCCACCTGGCTGGCGACGGCATCGAAGAATCCGTTCTCGCTGCTGCTCTTGCCGAAGGTAACTGCTGAAGACGCCTTCAGTCCGGAGAACTCGCCGAGGCTTGACCTCTGTGAGACATAGCCACGAGAGATAAGCAAATGATCACCTCACGAAATCACGCCCCAGCGCTCGAGAAGCGACACATTTTAGATAACTCTGTCGACCATATTCCCAGAGACGAGCCCACACCCCCGCCAGCCTGCCTACTGACAAAAGAGGAATTGAAGCGAGAAAATTCAATTTTGTAAATGCGGCTGGGGAGCATGTCTAGCAACTGCCTGGCTAGACGAGGCAGAGGGCAACCAGCTCACGAATCGAATTCCACGTACAAATTTGAGCCCCTTCTGCTTGAGAGCTCATATTCTCCGCACTAGGACGTCTGAGTCACAGACGCAGGAGAAGGTCGAGTGTGTGCAAGCAATGTGGGGCTGTGCCCTGCTTGCGGCCATTCACGTCCCATTATGACAAGGCAGACCAGAAGGCATGCAGTGGGTGCAGCACATGACCCGAACCTATGAACTCGACGCCACACGACAAACCTTGAATGATGCAGCCTGGGCAGCAACATTGGACGAGCGAGCTGCCGAGGTGGCCTGGGCTTGGAGTGTGAGCTTGGAGCTGACGGCCGATGCTCCCACGGTGATGGACGCCATTGTTTCAGCTCACACGACAGCAGCTCGTTCGTCTCTGGAGCGAGCGTGTGTAGCTGCAGCACTGAGGCACTGAGTCGTGCGCAGTTCGATTTTGTGCGAGCCCGCAGCAGCTCCAAACGGGGCCGTGGATATTTTCGCACCTGAATCCGCTTTCCGATACCGTCCACATCCTGTCATGGCCCTTGTCTGCTTTACTCGACGAAGGAAAAGGACTCCAGCTTCGACTTTTCGTGAGATCCCTCCACTACAGCCAGAGGTTGAATCCGGATGCCGGATCAAGCGGTCCAGCTCGGAGCTGAGGGATTATCCCGATCCAGTGCCACAATCGGATCAAGGCGTACCTCAGCGTGCCAAGGGCGTGACTGCGAATCATGTGTGGCGAGGGGTTTGTTTGATTGCTGGTGGAGACTCGTATTTTCATATTACGCTCAGGGATGGCACAATTATGGATGGAATATGGTTGGATTTGAGGCTGTGATGAAGCAGAGGGGGATAGTGAGAGCCAGAATAGCCATAGGCTGTTGAAAAGGTCGGATGAGGATTGGGAGAATGAGATATGAAGAAAGTGTCTCGCCACACACGTGGCAGCCATAGCCTGGAGTATCGATCTCGCAGCCTGCCGGACCTCGAGCACAGCGGCACCACCGTGCACACGCGAACATTCCTGCAGATTGCAGTCCTCCACGCGCATGTCATTCCGTGTCATGTGCCCTCTCCCACAACCTTGGATCTCCAGATTCCGGCAGCCTTTTTCTGAAATGCTGACCTTGAAACCATTTTGCGGTTCTCTTATTTCGGCAGCTCTAAATGCTCCTCACCCATGCCACTCCCCTTAAATGCTCGTGCCTGCTCTTAATCGGGATTTTATGTACGGACTATTTCCATATCCAGGTATCTGATAAAGATGACGCGTGCTTTTCATCGAGGGCTATCCTCGAAGTCAAGAGAGTCGCAGAATCTGTTTGGGGGGAAGGCTGTCCCTTGAGCTCCGTCAGGTTTCATCCTCCAGGGGTGATGTGATTCGCTGCATAGAGCTCCAGATTGTTGTTAGTTTCTCTTCCACAGTTGGTATATATCCTCTCACTCGCCAAGATGGAATATGATGAGTCCTGTTCTTGGCAGCCAATCTACACATGCAGTTGTTCCACTTTCTCCCGCACACGATATTGCTGCGTGGATGCTGTTATCTTCGTGAAGGTCCTTTCCTGTCTTCCGAAGTGTGCAAGGAGAAAAACCGATAGCAGTTATGTTAGAAGAGTGCACATTCAGTTTCTTCCTATAAATACCGCAAAGTTCGTGAGGTAAACAGATGGAACTTTACATAGTAAAATTATTTATCAGAATAGGTTTAAGTAGGAAGCTACTCACTTCGTAGACCTTGTCATATCGTTGTCAGGCAAACAGCTTGAGGCTCAACTGTGCATTATTGGGTTATTTATTAAACCGCAAAACCGTGGAGGGTAAATCTGTATGCATGCAGATTTAATTCTCAGTCCACGATCGAGCCTCATGTTGTGGGGCCTGACAATGGCATGTATGCAGTTCGTGTATCACCAAAGTAAAATTAGAAAGCGGTCGGCGCAGATTACACAGAGAAAATGATCCACAAACCCGACATTAGTGGAAGATAAATATCTTTCTCAGATCTCAAAGCTCGGATTTGAACGTGGGAATTAAACTTAGCGGCATACGCCACAGGTCGGTCACCAGCACCCAGAGAAACATTTACAGCTATGGCAGGATACCTTATAAAGGTGGGAGTTCTCAAATTAAGGTTCAATCGCTGAAGGATGTCAAATCCGAAACAAGTCGTGATTAGAAATGCGTATCCATGGCATTTGACTTTTTAGCGACTAGAGCAACAAGGGAAAGCTGTCTCAGAAACGAGGGAATCTTTTACTGCGCTCAGTAACTTGGTGAGAAGTTATCTGTGAAAGGTCGACCACAACGGGTAAAACATCGGCCGAACATCGAGACTCCAATAACGTACAAAACAATTTATAATAGAAAAACGTTACGGTATTGTTCAAGTTCAACCTGGGTGATACATGTACCCTATCCGTCTCCCTCCGCCAGTTGTCAGAATAAACTATTTGAGTCCTTACTTGACAGTAATTCGATAGACATAATAAGCCAAACATACCAACAGGTGTGTTGAACAGAAGCTTCTTTTCTTGCCAGTGTACACTTTAATCGATACTTAATTTTATGATACAGTCTCCTACTAAAATTCAGGATCCGAGGTACAGAGGCTTGTTTCGTTTCTGCTGCCTTCGTCGAAATCCCGTGAGACAACAACAGGCAAACTACATTCCTTCCTTGGTGGTCTAGACAACTTACTAAGCTGAATTTCCACCAGGAGTAAGACAGTAAGTTGCAAATCTGATTTCTCAAGCGGTCTGGTGTTGCAAGCTATAAAATGTTTGCTCTTGTCCCTCAATAAGAATCTATCGAGACACTAGTTCTGTGACATCGGTGAAACAACCTTTCATACACCAGTGTGCCCTCACACATGTAACGAAACTGTTCTCCGTGAAGACCAATTAGTAGGTGCTAGGGTTGAAAATAATCACACATGTCTCATTTAATCTATCTACAAAGGGGTAAACCAAACTCCCTTGCAAGGCATGTGGCAGTCGTATTTACTTGGGCCTTGCTGCAACTCTGACGTCCAGAGTCTTACGAATCCTCCCCGTCATCTTCAGTAACTGTGTTCTCTGATAGTCCGAAACCTTCGGGTAAGAAGAAACTATCCTCCACGTTCAGCTGGTCATTGAGTTCCTGTAAGGCCCTAGTTGCTGCAGCTGCAACGACAGGATTACTGTCTTTCGCTAGCTTCTGCAGTGGAGACAGATTACAAGTTGAGATACACAAGAGTGAGATTTCAAAGTAGGAATGAAACCAGACTTACGTGCCACTTTCCACTCTCAAACAAGCGTCTAATATACAGCGTATCCAGGATGGATGCTGCTCGCTCACCTGCAAAGCACCCATGCCTGCGTTGCCAAGAGTCCACAAAGAAGGTGCGTCGGCTAGTGCGTCTGCTAATGCCCGCCTGAAATCATATACAACAATTAGAGTTTTCGTTCCACAGACCTATACCCCGACTCATAATTTGAACAATAATGGAAACAAACCCGAGACGGAAAAAATCAGAAACGACCCTTTTTATACGCTAATCAATAAGAAAAAGGGTATAACCAAACTTTCGACCTGAAAAATAAACAAACGCAATGAACATCATGCTTCGGAAGAAGAGATGAACAGATAATTCTAGTCCTGTCAAGCCCTTTCTTAGATTTCACTCCAACAGAGAAATGCACTGTGCTAACAATTTACCCCAAGACTAGGAATGTGCGGCAGGCAAGATAGAGACATTCACTGACACATACCTGGTCTCAACGTCAGGAGACGTGGCACATTCAGCTAGGAGCGATGCTCCACTTCTCCCATCTACCTCGTCCATATCTAACAGCGTTGCAACTATAAAGCCTAGCTGCTCGGATTTGATCAAAAGCACAGCGTATAAGAGATTCATAATGGGATTGAAAATCCGGCCAGTGATCAAAATCGCTATCATCTCGGGTGAACTCTTGGTTTATGCATCCACTCCAAGACGCAACTAAGGCAACACAATGCAGGATCGATGTTCTAAGGTATATATCGTGTTGTGACATGGTTGCAAGCTTGAGACCAGATTTGAAATAATTACCTCGTCCGGATCCTTGTAGTCCATGCCCTCGGTTTCTGCTAGCAGAGTAGCCACATTGAGATACGCTTCCTGTTGGATATAGTCATACAAGTCAACTTATACAACTTATACAGAGACTGTTGTCTGAATTCGCGAAGCGCTGCTGGACAACAGATCATCTTTAACTCTAAACGGGAGGTATCCACTGAGCGACAGGAACGACATCCGATGTCACAAGGGGGTATTAGTCAATACGTACCTCCAGTTCAAGCAGGCGATCGAGAGCGACACTACCAGTTTTGAATTCTGCTTTAAGCTCTCCCTTGTCTTTGAAGGCCTTCAATTCTGTTCTGGTAAAGGTTGGAACTGACTGATCCTCTCTGCAACAGAGTAGCAGAAAAAGGAGTGTTGGATTGAAGCACTCTTTACGATTAACTCCCTTAACAAATAAGATTAGGCTGCTCCCTGCTTGAAGCGACATCCACATGCAGGTCTACGCAGTTTTCCAAACGTTACACGATAAAATCCACTGAGCTTATACATATCACTCGCTGCTCCGATGGTTTCAAAAGTATATAAAACTAACTTCTGAGGAAGGGGAACATTTGCAACAGCTCGTGGTCAACCGCAAGGGCTTAACACGGAAGTAGCCAGGACAGCATAGACGAAGGAGGTGCAACCATAGGGGCTCTATCTAAGGCACGGCATGAAGCGTTGGAGTTGGTAGACATAGAAAAAACAGGTCCGGATCATAGCAACAAAACATAGCGTGAGAAAGGGAAACATATTACCTCATTCGCACGATCCTGACCAAGGTATCATGAACATTTTTAACAGCCTGCAATCTCAGCCATTCACAGTAAAAACCTGTTAAGAACTGTTCTCCCTGATAAAAGGACTTACTTCCGGACGAAGTTTTTTTCAGACTGCACGGTAGATCCTTTTGCCAAATGGAATCCAGGAGAACCGCGATGCGCAGGGCTCAATACTAGTAGTAATGGACAATCACTCTTACTTTCATATTACCTCTATACTTCAAAAAATAAGTACCTGAATAGAAATATACGCATCTTCCATGGCACGCCTTCGAGCCCTCAAGTCTGCAAGTCGCAAATCGGCCTGCACAAAGAGAATTTCACAGTCACAACACCGACTAAATTAGAGTGTGTAACACTTGTTACAAACGAGCCAGCTAATGGGAAAACAAACTTATTCAGTAGACTGCAACTTGGTTTTCCTACTGAGAGAAAGTAGCTGCTCGGAACAGAATTGGGTGAAGTCATAAGAAAACCATAAATATTGGCAATAACCTTGCTACTTATCGTTTCTCCCGTAAAGTTACTTCACGAAACATGCACGAAAATAGGGATTTATTCTTCCAAACTAACAAAAAAGATGATAGCAAAGATCAACCAGGTTAATTATTCGCGGTTTCTTATGTTTATGGTTATGCTTTGTGGCTCATCAGGAACCACACTCTTTCAATAGTTGGCTACGAAAATCCATTCCTGTGAGGCGTAAGAAGATACATGCCCGGAAGACGAATTCCCAGTGGGGACACTTTGCTCTAAACTCTTTCAACGACCGGTGTATCCGACCACTGACAGAAAGTACTTCAAAACCTAACAATCCTCGAGCTGCACTGTAAAGACAAAAAAGCAATAATGAAACATACGTCTAGAGCGCCGTTACTCCAGTGCTCCTCTGCCTCCAATCTTGCAACTTCTTGAAGCCCCTGCGCCAATTGGTGACATCTAATCAGCGCCACTATATTGTAAATTTGATCCAGATAATTCATTACATGAGGATTTGAGTGAATAAGTAGGTACCATGCAGAATGGACTTACAAGAATTATTAACCGTAGGCGTTTCACATTCTGGCGAGCCTGCGTATCTAGCTTTTCGGTATCTTCTCTGGCACGGGCTGCAATGGCATAAAATGATACGGTGAGATGCTGTGATTACTCAAGTCTACATATTCTAAATTTGACATACAAAGAAACCTGATATCGACTATTGACATGGCGAAGCTTCAGAAGACTGCTGTCCTGTTTCACCAAGTTCCCGGTATAGTACACAAAAAGACTTGTATACTTGCAGATAAGAAAAAGTGTATGGGGCCAGACTGTCTAGAGTGCACATTGGTAGTATGAAGAAAGTACCATCCAGTTTCAGAAAGCCTGAGCCTATCAAAGCCACATCTTGTCTCGCTCGCATGTCTAATCTCAGAATTCCTCTGAACATCACAACAACAATACACAGCATCTCATTAAATTATCCTTATTCGAGCTCCAGGCAACTTCATGGTTACGAGGCGGGTATTTGACCATTCTAAAAAGCGGGGTATAACAAGCGGTGTGCTGAAATTCGTGACAAGGTCCTGTGATTTTGAAGGATGAGTAAACCTGTAGGTGTCAAAAGACAGGTAGCCGGTGACGACACGATTGCAATTGATAAAAAGCATTACCAGACACCTATGCGTTCTTTTCTTGCTGACAATCTAAAGAGAGTTCGTCGAGAATCAAATCAACAGCTGCATATTCTTTCCTGTCTTCAAATCAACACCTGCGTGATGTGAGAAGGCAAAGTACCTGCCAGATATAGACTTACTCTTTCAGAATAGTCAGATCGTTGCGAGCACGAACATCCAAATTACGTGCGGCGGCACCCATGAGCTTTGCATCCTTGCAAGCGAATCTCGTGGCAGTCTGAAGGCCCCCTAGGTTTTTGACCGACCTGCTACCCTTTGGCCCCTGCGGCATACTGCTACACTTAGATGGAGTTTCTCCTGAAACCCCACCATCTTCTCTGCATGAGATGGGAATTTGGACCTGGCGCTTGTCACCCCAGGTCACATTCACCGCACGTCCACCATAGCTTGTTGAGTTCGAAAGAGATACGCTCCTGCCGGAGGAAAGCCAAAATGTGGAAGATAATTCCTCAGCTTCCGCTCCAACAAACTTCAGGATATTTTGATGAGTTTTAAGTAGAGAAGAGGTGGATTTGGCAGCAATCGCACAGTTCCCACAAAGAAAGCCCCCGGAGAAAGTAACCATTTTATTCCGCTAAATTTACAGCTTTTGCTCGTCTCAGATTGTGCAAGGATCGTAACCCTTCCTTCAGGATTGAAATCTGTACCCTCCGCATTAGCAAGCCTTAGTCACGGCTGATGGAAGGATGTCACCGTTCTTCCTCTCTCAGCTCAGGCGGACATCTGCTCCGCCCAATCCGAAAATGACGACCGGTTTTAATACCATAGTGCTCAGCTTTCCGCTTGCCGCAGATCTCGCATCTATGGCTTCCCAACGACAGCAAGAAGTCTATATCGCCCCCATCACCTGCATCAGAAAAAAAAAGCCTGAATTTTAAAATTTCCGTACTGGCCATCCGATAAAAAAACCATGTGCCATTGTGGGCACGAAAAACAGCGGGAGGCTTGTCGTCCTTGCAGTAATCTGAGGTCTTGTCTCTTCTGAAGAAACAAATCTTCAGACCATAGAAAGGACGACAAAGTCTCCCGCAAGCAAAGAATGAATGACGGAGCACACGCACGGGCAGATGAAAATCGAAGCTCAACAACCATTCAAAAGCCGAACAAAAAACCAATAATCCAACTTCTCGACAGAAAGAAAACCTGGCAAAGTGTACTGAGAATTGCTTCGAGAATGGATGGCAATCCTGGCGTGCCCGGCGACAATCTAAATCTAGCGTGATTCGACCCTCATTCCACAAACCACAGCGACGATTGCAACTGCACTCAGGAAAGCTCAATTGTCCCAAAAAAAAACCTCAACAGATCGAAATCAGTCCTGCGCTCGAAGAACACGGGCACCGTGCCGCAAATATCGAAAGAACTCGAAGGCGCGAGGACCGAAAGAGCCCGGCGTGCCAAGAAAGCACTGCACGGGGAGATCAGTGAGCGAAAATTGACAAGACTCGGGATTCGAGCGACGGATTCGAAAGGAGTAGGTGGCGCTTACCGCGCGAGCTGGCTGAGCCTGTGGGCGCCGGAACGAGGGACGGAGTGACTGGTAGGCCGCGGAAAGGATGTATCACGGCCTGGGCCTCGGCCCCGTCGCGAGGGCTGTACGTGGGGGCCGCTCTGCACAAGCAGCCATTCGAAGGCGTTCGTTTTGCCACGTTCGCTCGTAGATCTTTTCCCGGACTCTGCACAAACTCGCTGCCATTGCCATTTTCTTCCCTCTCTCTCGAGCATGCCCAATCCGTCCGTCCGTCATTTACTTTCCGTCTGTCTGTCTGTTCGTTTGATTGCTTGATTAGTTCCGTCATTTTCCCACTTCGTTATCTTTCCACCGCCCTTCGACCATTTCATCGCTTCACGTTCATGGATAAACAACGACCTTAAGCCTTCTCGTTGCTTTGCGTTTACGGACGATAAAGTAAAGTGTAGCTAGCACCATGGTGATGGCGTACCTACACTTCATTTGAAACTACACTTGACTTGATGGCGTACCTGGTTATGGTCGTTGATGTTATTGTTATAGGTACTCTTTAGCTTCATAGTTTCTGTGAAGGTGTCATTAACTAATTCTTGGATAAATAAAATAAATAAATAAATTTAGAAAAAAAGCTAAAGTTAAATTTTTGATAAAAAAGCTTAAAGAGAAAAAGCTACCAAGTTGTCTAATTGTAAACTGTGTGTTCATATTGATAAACTGCTGTAATGCTTTCTCTACCCCGCTATGCAAACTATTTTAGACATCATGTTTCCATGGTTCCATGGATAGCACCGGCCAGCATAATGAACAGTATGGCAATCAAGTTAGGTGATGTAGCATTAAATTCTCTTCTTGTTTGTGGATCATTGTAATATTTTGGATATATCAAATGGTGTATTACATATATAGTCGATGTTCGGTGTGATAGATTATTTTCACAGATTCTTCAAATCCACATGGCTCTCTTTTCAACTCTACAATCTACCATAAAATATGGGTTTTCATTTCTAGTTGTGCATATTACATGTATGTAACTATATTCATGTCAACTGGATATATGGAATGATTATTTTTTTACAACATACATAATCAAAAGGTGAAAGTTAAATATATAAGATCAGATGTTTCACAATTGTTCTTTGAGTTTGTCAACAAGTTTTAAGTTCTCCAGCGGAGTCTACATAGATTACTTTTTTACTTTGTAACAACTTTTATTATCATGATGTTGTTATTGATTGCAATATTTAGACTCTCATTAAAATTAAAAAAATTCTAGAATTTAAAATTAATACCATGCAAGCATAAAAAAATTCTAATAGTACATATTTTTGAAATAATGCAATCATAATTAAAATATATTTCATTTTGCAATTAAAAATTTTTGAACACATCAACTGAAAATATAGATTTTTTGTATTATAAAAATTTCAGTATATAAAAAAAATATCAAAAAAATATTCAAATGTATGTTCTTTAACAACATATAAAAAATTATTTTAAAATTATTTTACTTCTAAAATGAAAATTTTACATTGATTGATGTGATGCAAGATATTGTAACTCAAAATATATCATTCTTTTTAGAGTTTGAAAATATGCATTAGATACACAATATTGCATAAAAATACATCATCACTATTATTTTGTTTAGTTTTCAAAAATAATATACAAATACATGATGAAAACAAAACAGATATAATATTTATGATTAATATATATATATATATATATATAATTATGAGTGTAAACTTTTAGAATATTTTTTCAATAATTTTAAAATTAAAGTTTAAGAAATTGAAAATATATATAAATAATGTTGTGAAGGCATTCAATTAATATTGATTATGTCAAAATTTGCATATATGTATATTGCAATATATTTTATATACGTTGCAAAAAAATATTAATTTATAAATGCAATTTAATATAAGTTAATGATTACAATACATAAATAAAAATAAATGAACACTATAGTATTTTTTAATATAATATATGTTTTGAAAAGTTCTATTTTTAGAACATATATATATATATATATATGCACCTAGATTTACACCTCCCTTGCCAGTTTGATTTTAAATATAATAAATTTGAGTGAGTCTAATCATCCCCTGTAAACTGTAAGTGCAACGCAACAGGAGATGAAGTTTGCCACGTGAAAAGAGCTCATTAAAGATCTCAAGAACAACTATGAACCGGAAGGAATGATCCTACTATCAAGACAAGCAAATAGAATTGGATGGTTTTGACGTGTGACCGAGGCGGAAATTATGTCAACGTGCTGAACTTCATAGATGAAATTCGCCACAAGGAGACGCACATCACACTAAACGGCTGTGATTTTGTGATCATCTACTTGTCGATGAAGTATGTCCATGCAATCCGTAAAATCTTTGGCAATCACAATCATGAGTGATGTGGCAACTTGATAGACCATGCGGTGAAGCGTAGTTTAAGCGAGTTAGAAAAGTCTAAAGTGAAATAGCTTGATGGCACTGGCTTGACATCAATGTAGATTATCTACATTGTTCGTAAGGAGTTTGCAAACATTCACTCGACATACAAAAAAATCTACAACGAGCTTAAAAGTGCTCAAGCGGAGGAGTTGCGAGGCCTTAGAACCATTGAAGCATTTGTGGAGCTAATCTTATGCCCTCACTACTTCAGCAAGGTGCGGCTTGTGGGAGATGACGTTAATAACATTTTTGTATGCATCAATCAGTATGTATAAGAGGTTCTCCAGCATCTTTCTTCTTGATTGCGCCTATAAAACCATTTTTTTATGCATCAATCAGTATGTATAAGAGTTTCTCCAGCATCTTTCTTCTTGATTGCGCCTATAAAACCAACAAGTTTAGCATGCATCTGTTGAACGTGGTTGGCATCATGTCGACCTATCTGTCGTTCAATGCTAGCTTCGCCTTCTTGCACGCAGAAAACGCGAAGATATGCATTTGAGCTCTGCAATAAATTTTAGAAATTGTGATTGCTAAGGTTTTGTGCACGGACGGAGAATTGTTTTGATAACAGAATTGCACGAGTCTTGCTGACATGCCACAACATCCTATGTTGTTGCCACATCAACAAGAACATGTTTGTTGGTCTTGATGAACGGAATTGCACAAGTACAACCGAGCTGCCACAACATCTTCTATTGTTGGCTGTAACCATCCTTTGTTAGTTAGAACTAAAGTAGAGGTTACTCCAAATATTAATATAGATATTTTTGTGTGCACTAATCATAGTTGTCACGTCAGCGATCCGCGTGCTTGTAGGTAAGGATTGAGTGTGTTAGTTAGTGTGTCAGTTGGGAGCGTCACGTCAACGATCCGTGTGCTTGTTAGTATTATTCGCCACGTCATACATACACTAGGAGTGGTATGGATGGTGTGGATAAGATCTTATCTCCTTGTACTTGTTAGTGAGAGCTATATTGTAACACTAGGGTTTAGAGAGAATCTCACCCGAAGATAGAAACGTAAACTTTGAATATGAGAGATACAAAAAATGGTTCTACTCTCCTGTATATAACTCTCACCAACAAGTACAAAGAGATAAGATCTAATCCCCACCATCCATCCCACTCCTAGTGGATGGATGACGTGGCGGATAACCCTAACAAGCACTTGAATCGCTGACGTGACGCTCTCAACTAAAACACTCAATCCTTACCTACAAGCACACAGATTGTTGACGTGGCACTATCAACTAACACATCCACTCTGTATCTATCAAGTGCGCGGATCGCTAACGTGGCAGCTATGACTAGTGCACACTAAAGTATCTATATCAATATTTAGAGTAACCTCTACTTTAGTTCTAACTAACTAAAGATGGTTACATATATAAGGGAGAGTAGAATCATTGTTGATATCTCTCATCTTCAGAGTTTACGTTTCTATCTTCGAGTGAGCTTCTATCTAAACGCTAGTGTTACATTAGCTCATCAACAATAAAGTGCTTGCTAATTGCAAGAAACGCTTCTCCGATGCCCAGTGGCGAAACTTCATGCAACCATGAAACTTGTTTGTCTCTAGCACGTTGGTTGAACTATGATATGCGATCCTTGTTGCTTTTAAAAAGATCTACGTGACAAAACATTGTTGTGGAGTTTATTTGAGGCTTAAGACTACAATGTAGTTAGTGTTTTGTGTGAATATAAGTTAGGGAGAAGAACTATAAATAGTGTGAATGCTATGTGTGTACACTATAACTAAAGTTTAGTGTAGTATGTACTTTTGAATTGTACTACGTATTGTACTAGAGTTGAAAGTACTATGTAATTCCAAGTTGTACTATAATTGACTACTCACATTCTACGTTTTACTTTTGAAAGTTTTCTTGTAAAGCTATATAGTAAAGAGTTGACGGCTCATTCCGTTCAATCCCAATTTTGTGTCTTCACAGGTTGACGGTTCAAGAGAATCCACATTTTTTTCAGCGGTTGTGTGTGTTTTGAATTTTCTTTGTTTTTCTAGGTGACTTAACATTGAATGTTGCAGTATTTGACGGAGCCGACGGGGGGTAGTTAGTTAGAGAAATTAACTTTTTCCCCAAAGAGAAAAGTGATCTTAGGTATAGAAAAACACTTTTAAAGCATTTCCAAAATTTTGTATTGATTATAGAGCAAAGGTTGAGATATGTTTTAGTTTTTGTTTCATTTCTAAATCATATGTAGATTGAAAGTAAAAAATGTTGGAAGTTAAGGAAATTTTCACAAGTATCAAAAGGTTTGCTCTTAGACAAATTTTTACAAAGTAAATTTATTTTTTTATTTTGATTTTTTGTACAGAAATTTGTATGAGTATGTATTGATAAATAAGCTATTTGTCAATCTAAATATCACTCAGAGATCGCGTTTTGAGTAAAAGTTATGTTATTGCAAAATTCACAAGGTAGAAAACCAGGGAAAGATATCAAAAATTTTGAATTTTTTTATTCACATTTTTCTTCATGTAAAGAATGTTTTTTTAGAGACCTTTTGAATTCACCTTATGGAATTGCAGTATTAGTATGATGGATTTTTGTTGTTAGCAGTCATAGATCCGGTGTTCTTCTTGAGCAACTTTTTACCTCTGTAAACTGGCTACGTTGAACTACGTTATCACTAATTAGTTGCCACGCAAGTAGAAGTCTGTGACATGCTTCGTAAATGAGTTGTTTGACTTAGAAAGCGCGAGTATGTCGAGAATGGAGTAAAACCACCCTCGAATCAAGTCATATCTTTGCAATAGCATTCTCTAGCTCTCGAGGCTGACAAAGAGGTTGGAGTTCATGTTGGCTAATCAACGTAATGAGTTAAATGCTGCAATTTAGAAGCAGAAAAAATATTTGGCGCATAATTTCAACCATCATTGTTTCAAGAATCTAATCTACGTTTCCGATTTTGCTCTTGCGAAGCTATTGAAGCAACTATTTTTTTCTGAAAAGTGTACATAAGGAATATTCATACATTGCGCGACTCATGAAATCATGGGGTTTGTCTTGTCATCACTACATTCGTGTATATCTCGAAACGTAACAGTTGCGAAACAAGACTTTTAATTCTTATATAGTAAATTCATGAGCAATGATGATTGGATAGAAATTCCCTTGTACCTCCTAACGTCACTGCAATTCCACCTCCACATGAATCGGTGTATCCAATAAATCAATTTGTGCAAAAAATGACAATTACCTTATAACAAGTACTTTATAATGAGTATCCTTGAGCATGCAGTTTTATTGTACGCCTTAGTCAAGTATTGAATAATTTCAACGTTCAAGTTGAAGAGCACTTAGTCGTGGTTAAGAAACGCGGCAGAACTGTAGAAACCAAGAACAAGACAATCCTCATCGAAGATAAATACGTGGAAGAACTCAAGTGTGAAGTATGTGGTCAATCAAGACACAAGTCAACAATCCATTTGCAGAAGTAATTGAGTTAATAAAATTACTCACTCAAATTTATTTTGTTTAAAATTGGACTACATTAGAACCTCTATAATCTTATCTAGCTGGGACCGGCCCTTTTTGATAAGTTTATACAGGTGATAAGTTTCTAGAGTTTATTAAAATTGATTCATTTAATTTTGCTTGATTGGTCTCAGAACCATCCGGAAGGTTGCAGAAAGGTATGGAAGGTTAGGAAGGTTACGGCAAGGAATGCAGGACCCCGAAAAGACATAGAAGTTGTTTGATACCCAGGTTCCGTGTGTATTGGCTGTGGTATTGTAATGGGGTGTGTAGGGCACTGTATCCTGGCGTACTGTATAAAGTTGGACTGTGTAGAAGAAAACTTCTCAAAATGTAAACAACTTAACCCAGGAAAATCCCTAACCCACGTCAGATACTTAAGCAGCCAACAAACAAATGTGAACAAAAGCTTAGGCAGACAACCATTACAAGTTTCTATAGTCGATCATAGTCGTACAAATGTAGCTCGGAAAGCACATCAACCTGAATATAAGTTTATAAAAAATTCGGGGCAACCAAAACTTGATAAGTTATAAGATTATAAATTTTTGGCCTGGTCCCATGCCGGTACCCCACAATTTGATAAATTTTTGGAGGTTATAAATTTTTGGAGTATAAATTTATAGAGTTTCTACTGTAGCAAAAAAGATTTGAATCTAGAAAAAAAAAAGTGTGAAAAAGATTTTTTCCATGTTTTTTAATCTAATGTTTAAATATATGATATTATAGTGTTCAATTTTTTAACATGCAAGCAATTTGTGTATTATAATATTCTACCCATATTGTTTAGTAATCTCATCACTTGATGCATATTGAATGATAAAATTGTAATACATATGATTATTTGCAAAAACTATTCATATTACACAATCACATGAATTACATTACATACATGTCATTAATGGTTGCATAAGTATGATTGGCTCCATGTTATGATCAATATTTAGAATTTGACATAAAATTTATTTCCACATCATATATTTAATGACAACTTTACAATCATCTCACACCCAAACAACTTTAATTTCAACTAGTATAGAATATGCAACCAACAATGAAAGCTAATATTATGTATCAGATTGCATATTACTACATAAAAATAATTTAATTTATATAAATTTTCTGAAAAAAAATACAACACAAAATATATTTTCATTAAAATATAATCATATTAAAAAAATTTTAATATTTTTTATTATTATTAATATATAATTTAAAAATTAATATTATGCAATTACAAGATTTCAATTTACTATTCATGAACATTTACATGCAGATTTATGATATATATCATTTATCAATTATTGAGGATAGATCAAGATGAATTTCATCATCTCATATATTGATGGACTCAAAACTAATACTTTTTAAGTTTATTTCAACACATGAGCATATTCTACAATTATTTCATTCCCTTTGATGCTTTCTAATGGCTTGATCATAAATGAGTATTTCTATTAGCTATCAGTGATTATTTCATAATTTTTTTAAATTTTTGGAGAATCACTCGTTTTACAAAATTTATATCTATAATGAACATATTTCATAAGTTTACACCAGACAATTTTATTGATTGTTTCACCTGATGCAAAAGAATTTGGTTGAAGTATACTTAGAATCTATTTTTAGAAAAGCATTTACTGTGAATAATTTTTTAAAATATGAAATGATGTTAAGAGTGGTAAATAAAATACAAGGAACTAATAGAAAAATAATTTCCATATACGTTAGAGTCAAACATATTGATTTTATTAGAACTTTTATATATATATATATCTCAAATCTCATGTAATGATTAATATAGACTTGAAATACTGTAATCATCTGAAAAGCATGTGGCGATCGAAAACAAAAGAATCTGGTTTTACTATGCACTGAGATTTGGTTTTCATAATAGTCACGAGCAACTGTCGGTAGACTGAGTCATGGCGCCGTCGAGATTCGTTCCCACGAATGTGGAGCGAAATTGTTGAGATCTCGGAAGCAGATCTCGTCGTAGCCACCAACTCCTAATTTTAAGGGAAAGATTGTGACGTCTAAAACTCAAATTTGATTGTGAAGCGGAGGGGAAAATTTGATTGTGCTCCGTCGTCCAAATTTAAAGCCATTGCCAGCGGTATCAAAATCGAATACGCATCATTGGTTTCGAAATCTACGCACACGGTGAGAATTTAAGGGTGTTTCAGTTTCGAGCGGAGAAATTACAGTCTGAATATATAAGTGGAATTTAAGAAGGTAAATTAAAACGATGTTAGGAATCGGGGGATTCTTCTCAATTGTTTATGCTTAAGGAAAGGGGTTTCGCATCAATGATTTTTAATCCTGTCGATTTAGAATGCATACATTCTTTGATTACGTTGTGAAATTTCGCCACAGTTTCTTTAATACATGCAATTCTTTCCTGTCCTGCGATATTTACCAGCATGTACTTCATGAGTTGTCACGTTCTTCCTCTAGGGGCACCAGATTCAAAACCTGCAGCTCCCCAGGTCGGTCCGAATTTTTTGTTCAAGGGCAGGTGTAGATAAATATCTGTATCTCAAAACACAAAAGAAAAGATTTTCGGCCAGCACGGTTTTCCTTTCAGCTCACCTCGAACTCGCTTTTAGTTGACTGAAAGTTCCAAACACTGAATATTCATACACACCGTCCAGCAGTCCATACTTTCCGGGTACAATGGAAGGCATGTGAACCCGTCCGTCAGCTTCCTGAATCCTCGAATGTCCATCCTTCGAAAGCCGAAACCGAGAACTCCAGCGGCCTCCGTCAATATTGTCAACAGGTTGCAGTTGCACAATGCGGATGGGTCTCGGGATAGATACGAAGAGCAGACGAGCTGGTTATTGGATGAGATGATAAGGATGGGACGTGCTTCAGACAGCACATGACTGACTCACTTCAGAGTTGTCGGTTGGAGTGCAATGTTCTTCTGATTGTTCGTGAGCTGATTGTAATGATTGAGCTGATTGAGCTGATGTCTATTGTAAAAAATGCCGAGTAACTTCAGACCTCGTAGACTTTCTTTATTCCATCACGCTGCAACTGTCTGCTCAACATGGGCACTCTCTTAATGTATAATTAAAATCTCGTCGTGGGAACACGGCACCGCTAGTGGATATCTACTTCGGAGATCTGCACAATGAGGTGCTGCCCATACCAGTGTGACGGTCACTTTTTGATGTCGATTTCATGATCCAGGGGAGGAGCTTCTTTGATGGGATAGATCACTTCTAGCTCTGATTTATCCAGATTATGATAATCTGGACTCTCCTGTGGAAAAATGGGCATGCCGTGCATGCCAAACTGTCAAGACCAGTGGCATAGCTTGCCTTCAGCTTTGCTTCTGGACTTTGCACCAGATGTTACCGCAGAACGTACGTACATCTTTATTAGCTACTTGAGATTCTACACTAGAAGGAGAAGTGCATGTAAGGCGTATATGCTCTACATGTGTCATTAATGTATTGTATCCAAGGATTTACCATGAAGCCAGCTCCTGAAGCAACCGATTTGGATCCCATGTCTTTCCAAGAAGCTGGTGTTGAAATTTCTGGTCTCTTACGGATGGAACATTCAGACACGAATCGTCCTTGATTGATTTCTCGTGCAGAGAGACAGTGAGAAGAGCTTGTGAACCCTCTTCAACTCGAGTAGTTTCCCACCACCTGTCATGACTCCGTGCTGCAAACATACATTCTCTCGCAGCACCTCCCGAGATTCTACGTCGTGCAGCCGATCACTCAGCATGGGTGTTTTTACTCAAAGTCAAACTGAGGGCACAACCTGTCTCGAAAAGGCCGGATTCCGCGATGCATTCCGTTCGGGATCTTGGATATTCACACCAAAACAATTATAAAACACTGGTGGCCGCCATTGCCAGTGTTTTTATACCAGAACATGTGGCCGAGCCCGGGGTCAGGTCGCAGAACGGAGACTGCGAACGAGAGTGAGGCAGGTACGCCACCGCCCAAAAAAATTCCTGAGGCGTCGGAGAATAGTCTGACTCTCCTTCGAAATCCTGAGAACCTCTGCTCTCGTGGTACCTTCGTGACCTCGCAGTCCACTTTGGAATTCGGTGGGGGCCGATGTCGGTCAGGGACAATGTTTCTTCCAGAGCTTGCACTGCGAAACTTGCTCAGCGCATAATTTATTTCGCTGCTCACGGGCAGAGGAGCCGCATCGAGCCAGGCGCTGTCGTCCTCGGGCATGGAATATTAGGGGCGAAGTCTCATGATGACTTCAGTGTCAGTCTGTGGATGACGGGATCAGAGGACAAAAGGGGCGAGGGGCAGAGTAAACTGCATGGGGGCGGGAGAAAAGGCATGTCGTAGGCCTGGAACTCGAGATTGTCGTGCACTCGCCACACGAGCGATGCAGAGATAGATAGATATTCGGGACGTATGGTACGAGCGAGAGAGTACGTGGTGTCTTTCGTGAGAGGTCAATGGTCTAGGAATTGCATACGTGCAAAAGCTCGGAGTCGATGGAGTTTTGGTGTGTAAAGTACATTCGTTTCCCGGTGAAGACACCGCAGCAGGATGTCGGTCGTACATCTCTCTCTCTCGAAGGGTGCCATCACTTTCTCTCTGTGAAAGCTGACAATGAGCATGACGTTTGGTATTACGCAAAGCGATGAAGGCAAAAAAATGTGTACTAGTGTACGAGACTGATGTTACAAAAATCGCGTACCGGAACCATCTCACTTGTCAATAAATGTCGAACGCCGTGATAAATATCACTTTGCACTTTTCGAGCTCACATCTTCATCTACATCTACAAGACCCGGGCAGGCCGTGGAATCAATGTTATAAAATCGGCTAGTCTACGACCGCACCGTACCTCTCCATATCATATGCTGCGTGTTGCAGAGTCTGCACGGTGGTTCACAGTCACTAATTTGAAAAGCTCTGGGAAGGTGCTAGCCATATCTGGAAGCTGGCTTTCAGATTCTCTAGGGGACATCTGGTACAATTCTAGAAGAATCGTCGTTCACTTTAAGCTTTACCTTCGGTGGCCTTTGGGGAGTCGGGGAGTTGAAATTTGGCGTAAATATGTATCGATGCTGTTTACGGTGCTGGAGGTGAGTGACGGCGTGCTACCTTCCGTTGGTCCTACTGAGCTAAATATACATCAATTATTGAGAGGGCAGGAGAGGGGAGGGCAGGTCAGTGCAGAGCAATGTCAGGGGAGACGAGCTTGCAGATTACAGACTCTGCACAAGAATTCTGTGCATATTCACAGGAGGGAGGGAGTGTATGGAGACCGAGGGATGAGGGATCCGAGTCATCGTAGTTCGTTATCAGCAAGGGTAGTGGAAGCCCATGTAGCCTCCTCCTATGTACTGCCGCCAGACGTCGTAGCCTCCGAAGCCGCACATGAGCACGGCACTCACTCCCATGACCGCTGCCACCGAGAACACGATCAGCGAGGCCCGGTTGTACTTCTCGATGGCTTTGTGTACGATAACGATGCCGAACCACGAGAAGATTGCACAGAGGACGGCGGAAATGAGAGCGTATTGTAGAGGAATTCGGCCCATTAACCAGTACTGTATGACAGACATGGAAGACGAGAAAAACACCATGGATGCACACGTTGCAGCCGTCACCTGCGCGCAGCCACAAGCAACAGTCCAATTCAGTCAGCCTCATCCTCTGCCATCAAGCCTTCCACCGACTGCGTCACTAAAGTAATATGCATAATTCGATCAGAATTGCCTACACGATCTGTCTCTCCTAGCCCATCGCATCCATCTCTGCGAGATCACTGCGGAGGTTTATCGAGTCCCATGGATCAGATCATTATTTGGCTACGGTGTCGCAAACGGCATGGCATCATGAACATGCGGGTGCTGTTAGCGCAGCTACGTAATGTGCAGAGATTCTCAGAGTCGAATCTCCTCGAGTCCTTTAAATACTACTCGTCCATTGTACTGTAGTCCTTGGGCTATATGACGGATTGGTATCCCCGTATCCAGGGAAGGGGTCCTGGTTAGAGTAGCAATTTCGTAATAGTGTATCTGCTTCAGAATCAGTCCGCCGCCTCTCGCCATCCCTCGTGGACTCAGGGGCTTACGGAATAACATGCTTTGCTGCACGAACCATCCTTCAGCTGCAGACTGATGACGATGGAGGCAAGTACGTATCCGCACCGAGGATTCAAGACGTAGCGAAGTGACAGAGCTATCAAAATCTACACCTCGTTTCCCTCGGATTTCCATCTCCAGTGCGTCCACAAACAAGTATATGTTGTGTGTGGTCGATCGATGATTCCTATGGCGTGGTTTCACGATTCTACGTTGTCTGTGCATGGACTCATTTTCAGTTTCGCATCATCAGCTGCAACTTACTTGAGGAAGCATTCCGACTGAGAAGAGCAGAGGGTTGATAATCATGCCGCCTCCGATTCCAAGCATACCGCCCAACACACCAGCTACCAGAGCCATCCATGGAAAGAGAGTGGCAGAATCTGGGCCCAGCACGTATCCCTCTTCCTGCACACGGTCGAACAAAATTTAGTAGGATCTCAAGCAAGGTATAAGCAAGTAGAGTCTTCCGTTCTTATCTACCCTTCTAATACAGCACCGCTCCTGACTATGAAGTCTGTCATCCACAAGAGGATGACAAAAATCCAGGAAATTGGCTTCCCTTCCATCTGGAATCAAATGTAACTCGTCCGCCATCGAGAACTGAGCCCCCAAAGCACCGTCATAAAATTTATATTCGTGAGTCATCTCTGCCAGCGCCCATACTACCGGGGAACCTCTCGATTATAAAACAAATGACACCCGAACGAGTTTCCAGCTAATTTAGTCCTTCGATTAACCGACTTTTACGAGAACCGTCCAGTGTGTCCAACTCTCGTTCGTCATCGTCCTGCCGAGACGATGTACTTCGTGTGTCAGGCATCGAAGCTCAGAGAAGTACATCGTCTAAATCGAGGCAAGTGATTCCTGAAGGTCAAGTGCCCAGCTCGAGCACTGAGAGGACGAAGTTTCACTCCCTGGTCTGCTTCGTCCTGTCCACGTGCGGCAAGAAGGCCCAACTCGACAAAGCTGCCGCAGTGTGATTAGTCGACTCGTTTAGCGTGATCCATCAACGAAATGTAGCTGGTAGCTGTAACGAGACGAGGGCGGCTTTGATCTCGCGGCGAGCCCGTGCTCTTACGACATCTATCGATACTTCGTCCCACCCACATGAAAAACATGTCGTCCGAGAGAGGTCTACATGGACAGTGCTCGTCATGGTAGATTTCTCATCTGTGACGCTCTCGACAGCATTTGCAATCATGAAACAAACGTGCTGGGCCGTAATGTCGACTATACAATCGTGGCGAACAGGAATTGAGTAATTCACCTGAATGTCGTAAACCTTGGCATTATCCTTGTTGGGAGCGCCGTGATACTGACGCAATTGGTTGATGGTCCACGCGGTGAGGATCAGAGCCAGCGGTATTTGGGTGGAGGTGAGAGCCCAGTATCCGATGCCGCATTTCTCAAAGCCCAAGACACTTGGCTGTAGCAGATGCAACAAGAAATTGTTAGCTCACTGTGTCAGAAGCTGTGGGATCTAGCGCTAAGTCAACAGCAAGCTCTCGTCGTACACGACGCCGGCATTGTTGTCCCATGGAACCAATCTATTCCGTGCAAACTGAAGTCCGTGGTGAGGAAGAGCAAAATTAAATGAATGTCAAATCTGATTGCAGCGAGAGAATTTCATTGCAGCGGGGAATGGCAGTCTCACCGAGTCACTTTTCCCTCCGCGCAGAACTTGGACCGAGAAGAATGCCAACCACACCACGACGAGGGCTGCAATCTTCCTTCGAGGAATGAGCTTCGGTGGTCGGGGTGGACCTGCTGGGGGAGCGCCCAACAGCAGCGGTGTGGTGAGCGAGTCCTTGGGTCCGTCAGCTGCAGCCTCTTCTGAGGTCGGGACTGAGAAGTTCGGAGCAGCTGCAGCAGCTGTTACCTCGCTCTCGTCAGCAGGTGGGGAGATGGAAACTGATACGGGAGCTCGAGCTTGCGCTTCCAGGGCTTCTTTGCGAGCTTGATTTTGCTGCGACTCCTTGCTCCAGCGCTTGAGGCCACCTTTCATGGAGTGGAAGGTCATGTATCCGAGCACGAGCGCGAGGAGAGCGGTGATGAGCCAGGACGGGAGGATGACATTGAAGATGACTCCGATGCTGATTCCCAGCAGCATGTTGGGCTGCATGAGCAGCAGGACGTCGAAATCTATGACGGGCTTGCTCTTGTGGAAAGGATGGTGCTGTCGCAGGTTGATGATCAGATTCACGATGCTTCCACCGAGGATCATGAAGTTCGAGAGTGCGGCAGAAGTTTTGGGATCGAACTGCAGCATCAGGTTGAACAGAGGCACGAACAGTCCTCCTCCTCCCAGACCTCCGGCGCTCGAGAGTCCCGCTCCTATGCCTCCGAAGACGATGCCCAAAATGGTGCGCAGCTGCGTGAGCTTCAGCTCCGGCCACTTCACCTCTTCTTCGGCCCCCAGTTGGAAAATGCGATGCGACAGATTCTCCATACCTTTAAACCAAAAGCTGTGTCGATCGATCGGAGCCATCGAGCTCGAGCTCGAGCTGGCGCTGCTGGCCGCCTCGTCTCCGGATCCATATTGATCACTCACAGACTTGGTGACCATTCCATTCTGATTGCCAGCTCCGAGCAGAAGGTCTAGGCTGTCAGCTCCGGCGTCTCTCCTCGAGGACATCAGTCGTTCAGCCGACGCCAGGTGCATCAGAAACACCAGCACTACACAGACGCAGGTGAAGTACCCCGAAAAGCGCTGCCGAGGCATGCGTATTCTCGTGATCACAAACTCGGCCATGACTGCTACCACACTGCACGAAACGCAGACTATTTCACCTCTCGGATCGATTATCCTTTCTTTCGATTTTATCAATTCGGAATCGATACACAGTTTACACGCTTCTTCTGCTTCCTTCTTCCTTAAATTCACCGGCGGTCACCTGAATTGTACACGTGCAGAAGTATTCCAAATATTCAACGGGGAAGATCGTGCTTGCAAACAATCAAAATTTGAGACCAAAATTTGTACAAGAGCTCCCGGGCCTACGAGTCGGAGCCAAAGAAAAGTCAGTCAGTCAGTCCTGTCGGTCCGCCCCGGTCACAATGATACTGCAAATGGGCACTGCGAGTGCGAACGAGTAATCTCAAACTGTTCAAGCTCTGTGGAGCTGTCTGAAGCTCGGGGCACCAAAATTGTACTGATGATTATCAGTAGCTAGTTGCGAAATCACTTCCTCTCGCCTGGAGGCTGCCTCCCTTTCTCTCTCTCTCTCTCTCTCCCTCTCGCTCTCGTTCCTCCCTCCCTCCTTCTCTTCTCTTCCTGTCTTCCTGCCCTCCCCTCTCTGACTGACTCGCTCACTCACGCGCTCTCATTTATGTGCCTGCCTGGCTCGCGCAGCCAGCGTGACCAGGTTGGATTTGTGTTTGGCCTGCATGCGCAGCCAAGAGGCAGCAGTGAGCTGATGACGCCTAGGACTCAGCGCGGGCGGTGGTGGAGGTGTTGTGGATGATGACGGCGATGCGCGAGCACTGCTATTTCTCGCTCCTGTTCGAGTCTCAGTCTCTCTCTCGCAGTGTGGTCCCGAGGCACCGGCGACCAGTTCGCCCTTGTGCTCGTTTCTCAGCTCCTCACGGTCTCTTCGTCTTCCTCCCCTTTCCTCCTTCCTTCCTTCCTTCCTTCCTCCTCATCATCTGAGTTCCGGAGCGGATTTGGCCTCGTCTTAACCCCGAGCGATGAGGACGAAGACACACGGCAAGAAGCTCGACATTCCAAAGTTCCAGCGAGGGCCCCTCCATGGCAAGCAGAACTCCTTTCTGTGCCTGGGTCCGGTCCAGTCCAGTCGAGCGAGCAGGCAACCAGGCAGCCAGGCCGGCGGGCAGGCAGCAGCTGCAGCAGCAGCAGGAGGAGGTCGAGCCGAGAGTAGATCGGAAGAAGCAATTCATGCTGTGCCCCCTAGGGGCTCGATATACTGCCTCGCGCACTCACTGTTGTTGCTGTAAGTCTGCAGTAAATTCCTTATCGTGGCGGTGAAGCTCAGCTCAGCTCACAGGCACAGATCCTGCCGTCCCGAACAAGACAAGATTAGGAAACCCAATGAGTGCGCCCCTCGACTGCGCACAATCCGCTGCTCGCGGCCTGGCACCATTTACTTCTCAAGCCGATGGATACGACGACGAAGCCGAAGCGCAAGTAGTGTCTGGCAGTTCCCGTCCAAGAGGAACCAACGACGTCACGATTCTGAAGATTCTCTGTTGTTTTTAGAACGTTTGACCTACAAATAGCGGACGCACATTCGGATGATGTAGCATATATTTACAATGTGCTTCGTGGGCTGGCCACATGTTAATCGTTTGGTTGCATCCTTGTATTCATTGTATGGCTCGACGGTGTCATCCCACCACCCTTTCTGTTATTTTGCTCAGTCGAAATTTTTTATTATGCCCAGATCCCACCGAGTCACTCACTTAGTGCTTTGCTTTGCTCTCTGATGCTGGTGAGGAACGATCAATTGAGTCGTCATCCCTCATTCTCTCGCGCTTGGTCATCATCTCAGACTCGTTCCCACCAGGCGCTAGCGACAGAGGTCCTCGTGTGTGATTAGAGTCTCGGACGACGATCCCGACCACGACTCTTAATACTACTACTTCTACTACTGGGGCTGAATAGGCACAACTCGTCCGTGTCACTTGACTGCTGGCCTCAGATTACCTCAGCTCGGATCATTTGTTTTCCCCGAGAATTATCAGCCGGCTACTCTAACAAGGTCCCCCGTTGCTGAGCACTGGCTTCAGCAAGTGGGAGTTCATAGTGGCAGGCTCACATGGTTCCATAGCCGTCTTCTCAATCCAGAAATGGGCTTGAGGTCGTCCAGGAAGTCACACGATCCAGATCCTATTGTAAGATACTTGGGAAGACCCGCGGGATGAACACAACCACCAGGAAAGTAATGGCCATTCACCAACCGAGCGCGATCCTAAAGTTTTGATTAGAGTTGGCCTTAATTTTATTTTTTTATTGCTCTACTTTTTTATCAAATCGCCGAGGACCCTGTGTGGATATATTTCAAAATCCAAGAAAAGGGAAAAAAAATACTGGACTAGTGTGGACTCCATGAGCTGTTGCTCTATTGCTGGCTTGTTTAGGTTCACTTGCAGAGGGGGCCATGAAGTGGTCAGCCAAGGACTCATGTGTAATAAACTTTCAATTTTCCAAGTTTATGTCCCAGCACGTATAGCCAACATATCTTGGCTACAAAATACACTACTCCCCAATCACATGTCTTGGCTTGAAGATGTTTCTGAGAGTCATGATAGCCTCAATTGTAAAAAAAAGAAGACGAAAGTTCAATACATGATTCAACCCTCTTTACCAACCACTTCACTTAATATGGTCTAGTGCCTCCCCTCTAGATGTTCTGACCGGTTGTCGGTTCATGATACTCTACTCTGTCCAAGTTTTATCCCTTCCTTCCCTTCTCTGTGTCTATGAAAAGCTCTAATTGTGTCCTTTGTGTCATGTCCAAAGGGTTTAGGTGCTTGGAACGAGAAAAAAGCTTGAACATCATGGATGCTCCCAGAAAATTTATTGGTGGATCGGCTAAGGCGGATCGACTACTTTGGTCTGTGGCATTCTCCTGAGCGCGTTACACCATATCCTCTAGATTACAGTTGCAATAATGGCTTTGCGTAATTAACGTCAGAAAAGTCAGAAATTACAAACAAGTAGTAATTTGAAAAACATAATAAACAAAGTCCATATTCTGCAATAAGAAACAGACAATCTTATCAGCATGAGTCAGAATTCCACTCAAGTCAATAACAATCTGAATCACAACCAATTTCCTTTCGAGTCTACTACTACTACTACTACTAATTTGCAAACAAAGAGTAGTCAGATGCAATCAATGATCAGATTCACTTCTTTTCTCAAACTTCCCTTCTCTAATCATTCCTTTGTTATCTTTCTGTAGCTTTATGTCTCTCTATGTATCTCTCTGCGTATGTGATAACATTATAAATAGGCCTTTGTACCACTTGGAAGTCATTTAGATAAGTGGAAGTGGAAAAAATTGTCAAGGATTTGGATTGTGGCCCAATTACATTGGATATGAGTATGCCACATATGGATATGAGACATCAGGAGAGATGTATTAACATGCCGTCCAGAGGTGGAAATACATTACTACAGTCCAAAAAATGTTCATCGACACCGACACCTTATATTGGTACAATGTTGTCGCATGTTTCTTTACAAATGGTAGCTTTAATACTTCGCGCATTTTCAAAAGATTCTAGTTGCTTGTCCTTGATGTAGTCCTCTACATTTTTTCACAAACTGACATAGGATCAGTCTGAATGAAATAGAAACACTATCACATTGTAGTTGCATAAAATTCAACTGTGAGATATCATTGATGTGCACATTCCTGGTGAAATGATACAGCGGAAAACTGTGGCTAAGAAAAAGATTTTTAAAAATAATCAATTGTCATCGAGTTCTTGAAATATTCGCTTTTTCTCTTTTGTTGTAAGCGACTTTCACGTAGTTTCATTCACTTGCAAAAATATATACCGTAACAAGATAAAATGTGATGCGCAGTGGCATTTAGTTCGTATGGCTTGTAATCTCTATGTCCAGATCTACACATTGGATTTGTTCGTCAGCAACACGAATCCACACCAAGAAGCAGCCTTCCTCTTAATCGTGTCTTGAATTTGTCATCGACTATTCCATATTATCGTAATGTCTCTTTCCTCCCGGCACTGCAGAGATCCTCTGATTATAAAGTACTATTTGTGAGCAGCTATATAATAGCTAGTACATAATCCTGAACATGGGTCTATGATTGACGTCCAGGTTGTCCTGAATGATGTTTATGACGAATCTATTTACATGGACAATATTAATAAACTCCTGGAGGTATTGTAGATGTGAAGTTGGACCTTCATTCCTCTCAGAATCTATGAACCGTAGTAGACTTCGAATATTCTTGTTGCTGCTCGGTATTTATTGCTGTGAATACCATGGATACTTGCAATGAATTATCTCACATCAGCATTTGTGAGTATTATGAATAGAATTCCATTTTTTGGAAAGGAAGTCGGAGTTTCATCCACTGGTTTGTCTTTTCTAGTGTACTCGTTCTTTTATCCAACACTCATCATTGTGTGATGAGTGTTGGATAAATGAACAAGATTGACATGCATATTCTTGACTTGAACTACAAATATTTTTTCAGGAAAAAATAAGGATGTAAATATCACAATATCTATGATGAGTTGAGATGTTAAGTTTTAAATCAAGCTCAATAAAATCGCATACAAAAATTTCATAAAATATCGTGGCATCAATACCTATATACTCTACATTTTTTATATCTTTTCAGAAATCATAATGAACGTCGAATTTTTAATATGTGAGTATTTGAAAAAACATCATGACAATATTTGGAATCTTTGATTGCAAGAAAAATTGGTAAACAACTCTAGGATTTTAAAAATGGAATATGTTAGAAAATTTATGAATTACATAACGCTTATATATGTCTGAAACTCTATATATTTATACTGAAGAATGAATGATTAAAAAAACTCCAAAAAAATTGTGTAAATTAATAACAAATAACAGCTGTATGATTAAGTGAATATTCTATAAAAAAGAAAAAGCGCATAGCCAATGACATGTCAAATTCCTCATCAATGTGTTCCAAATCTGAAGATAATACAAATGTATTACTCTGTCTTATGTGAAGTGAAATGTGTGGTAAATCACGTATAAAGAGAAAACATTTTATATGTAATCGGTCCAGATATATGTTGATATGTGCGGTTTTGGTCACATAGATTTTATTTCACAATTTTGACTATGGAAGTGCGACATGATGACATTTAGAACAATATCGGGGACCGCCTCCATATTGCTCTCAATGTCATCATGCAACAATCTGGCAACAATTCTATATAAAATTTGATTACATTACAAAAATGCTGGAACCAAAAGCTTTGGGCTACACGGGTTGCCTAGGCCTGTACTTCCTCTTTGTCATTTGAGCCGTATGCGGGGGAATGTAAAATTTTGATCCAAATCTAATTTAAGAATGGTCATATATATATATTATGCTAACTTTAAAAAAAGATTGAAAATTTGTGTAACATGAATTATAGTTTACTTATAATACATATTATTTTTTTCAATTCAGATGATTATAATTTGAATTTTGTTTCAAATGATTGGAAAACATGAAAGAAAATAAAATCATCATCCAATCACTAAGATTACGAGTATTGTCAATATATCATCCTAAAATAGTCAAGTAACTTATATAAAGATAAGATAACCTCATCATTAATCTCACTCAATCTAAAATAAAGAATATACAAACATTTGTGAACAATCTCTAAATCTATCATCAATAAACATAAGATACAAATGATTGAAAATTATAAGATAATCTTATATCACTTAGTCTTTTACACGCCAATCACAATCAATATATGATCACTCTAAGCTTTATCTAACTTCCTTAATCATTCCGTGGGAGACTTGTTGTTGGATAGAGAGTGTTGAAGACGATGATATAGGGATAATGGAGTTTATTTTTTTCTAAATTCATCACAAAGTATATTTTCACACCTTATCCATATATTACATCTTCCTTAAAACTCTTCCATAACATCGTGTCTTACACAATCTACACCAGATTATCCCCTACTCTACACGAAAAGCCTCAACCATCGATTATGTCATGGATAGTTTGCACATCCATTCTCTTACCGACATGTAAATGACTTTCGGACAACATGGCTCAAAGTGAAGATACAGGAGGATAAGAAGAATTATTCAACACGAAACGAAACCTCAAATTGCGAGGAATTGTTAGCCTTCATTGTGGAGATAGATGCTTCGTTCACTATACTCCTTGATTGCAAAGCGAACGTGTTTTCAGAACGAGCATTAAAAGCACGCGTGAGGATCGGAACGGTAGAGTATAATCACATGCATTGATTAAATAAGTTTCCAACGTGAATCCCTTCAATTAAAACTGATCATAAATGCTTTTGACGTATTGACATGCACTTCAGTCGCGTTTCATCTTCACGTTTGTTTTTTCACATGAAGAGTGAGAGTTCTATATGGATCTTCATACTCGCTACGGTTAGGCCCCAAGTGAATATGAAATGTCATGTGAAATAGGCGGAAAAAACTGGTCTATTCTGCATTTGGCTGACTCCTGTCGAAAGGAAATGTCAAGGTGACAACATATGTGGAAAGTTACCATGTCCGGGGTCACGTGGTGGGAGGGTAAAAAAAGAGAGTAAAAAAACGTACATCACTAGTTCAACTCCGTGGTGGAGGAGTTTCAGGCTACTTTGTTAACGGGGAAAACCATGTGTGAGTTATTTTCTTCTGATAATGGGCTTAAAAAGTACACATTGGTTTTTGACAGACAGCTCTCAAACCGAATGTTGTAAACCAATATCCTCGGAGATGAGTAGAACCGGTGTCACACTGGTTGATGACGATATTCTTACAACATTTCAAACCAAACTTACAAGAGAGAATTTTATTATAAAGTACTAGATACAGTATAACTTTTGCTTTGAACTTGATAGATCATGTGGTGTCATTGTTTAAGTTGGAATAGTGTTGGATAAAGATCCTGTTTAGAATATCTTGCGATTGGTCTCAATCTTGATCATGTCTCACATGAATCTACGGATAACTTTAGAATATCATGTCTTTGATCATGCAATATTGTAAAATTGATAGTTAATACATGTCATGAATATTTTTTTTCATCAAACTAATTTCTTCAACATTGGATATGAAAATTATAGCACTTAAAAGTATATCTTTATGGAGTCAAGACTTATTTCATGTACGGATTAACAGTACCCTTTCTTGTTAGTAGTGCGTTACTTGTTTTTCCAAATGTTTGATGAATCTCTGATCTGTTGTTTGTATGAATAGGAAAAAATATGTATACTAAATGATATAATTTACAAATGTCATTATCATACAAGAGATGCATGAAATACATGTTATTAGCTTCTTCTTGTTCTCATTGCATGACCATTGGACCAAAACAACATAGTTCATTTCGTTAACGAACAAGTTTTCACCGCAATGTAAACTACAACTAATTACTATGTGTTACTAACCTCGATAAGTCTTCTTCCGTGAAAGACGAGATCACATTTATTGGCTAATTATACCATGGCGATTGAATACATCCATATGTTTCCCATACTATTATATCATTGAGTTTGTACATCATTGTGGAGTGGTGACAAATCAATTGAAAGAATGAAGCAAGATTCCTACTTATAAAATGCTAAATTTTAATATACATATAAACTTTGATTAGATAGTTTGAAAACCTTCCATACCTTTTCGAAAATATGATCTACAGCACCTAAGATATCCATATTCAGACGCGATGCTAGTGTACTATACTAGAGTAACTATATTACTTTAATCTTCAATACTTTGCTGTATACCTGCAGATACTTTTTGAGATAGTTACAGTCCTGGGAGATGATAACATGCCAACATGATATTCTACGGCATATCCTTCTGGATATTCTACGGTGGTTCAACACTTGCATGCTGTCGTAGTGTCAAGACACAAATTGTCATAGGCGTGACGTCTCTACTCAAACCTCAGCACGATATGCATTTCCGGCCTTGAAAGGAGGGAAGCAAAACGCTAGTGACTGGTTGTTCATCTCGAATCCATGCTGTAAACGAGGCGTGGTCATTCTGCAAAGTGATCGTGAGTCGGTGGACAAACAATAACCAAATCCACGACTCCCTCCACAGCCACCTTCCTAGCGACTGTGGCTTAGAAAAAGCATTTATTGTATATATCTAAATACCGTGTTCTCAACAAAACATACAGGAGAAGTTTCGCCCGTCTGACACGGTAACTAATTGGGTACTCAATCAGCTATCCTCGTGACACTCAACCAGGTGATAGGCTCATTCACGAGCCAAGCCTGTAGCTTACAAACGAGCAGATTGTACGAAACTTCTGATTAGTTCTGAACGAAGGTTCTCGTTGTCCGTGATCCAATAAATGAGAGCAGATTCATCCTTCAGATTTCTGCGGAAATTAATTCTCTTTTCAAAAGCAAAAGTGGTCTCAGTTTCAGCAGGAAAAGACATTGTAATAAGGCTGCAGTCTCGTCTACCAAGTCCGGACAAGATTGAGTGAGGTCAATGCTGAAGGTAATTGAGTGTGATCGGTCTACAGTGGAGAAGCCTAGAATAACGCAGACGCATGTGGGACCTACGGTGCAACCAGAGCTTCTGACCCACAAGTGTGTGACCATCTGTCACCGTCAATCACATCATGTAATCATGTCGACGCAGAAGGAAGTGCAACAAACAGCCTTTGTAACTCGGATCAACTCAAATCCGGGAAAGCCAATAACGAGTAGATCAAATAGTCATAACACGGCCCCACTCTCCTGGTTCTAAGAACACTAGAAGACTAAAACCTTCGAACGAAAGGGGCTCCGTGTGACATCCCGCCGTGCAGTGTCAAGGCCAGGTTGGATTGGAGTACGGTACATGAGAGTTTTGTGCAGAATGACACACAAGCCTGCAGTGCAATAGACGCTAAGACTGCTGAGATGCTGACTGCTCAATAAGTGGTCTATCTTCCTCCCACATTGCTTGTTGACGCATATCTTCTTTACGTCTTTCGCTTTCAAGGAAATAGCAAAAGTCCGACAAAGCAAAAAGTCCTACAAAGTAAAAGGACAGAGGAAGCAAGCGAAGACGCCCTACCAAGCCTTATCTTTTGTACGAAAACAGAATCTTTTTTCTCGTATGGAAAACAAGGTAACCGAGAGAGACCATGGCCTCGCCAAACAAGTTCTCGTACTATAATGGGTGAAAAGACACGATATAATCGAGGCTAGGAAGCCGAACGCTCAGGCATGTTATATTAACAACCCAAAAGTGGTTACCTCTTACTAACGAAAGAAACAACAACACCAAAGCAAAAAGCAAACGAAGAGTATCCAGACAACCACATGACAATCAATAGGAACTACAGATAATTTCAGGCAGCGAACATAAAAAACTGCAAGTTACATTCAGGATTTCTTCAAAAGTTACTGCACTCCAGCTCACCACCCAATCAAATAGTGACTGGTATATTGGCAGCCGGAAGGGATAAGAGATTAGAACCTCGCAGCTACCCCTTGAATGACAAGAAAGTAGAACACCCATCAAGGCCGCGCTTTTACTCAGAATACGATACTGTCATCATCAACGATGCAGGATCCATCAAGATTCTCATCGTGGAAAGCACGCAACTTTCCCATTTCCAATGCCATAAATTGCGTTGAAGTTCGGCCTTCAGCAGAAGTCCAACATGAACAATCCACAACAGAAGTAGGGTCGTGGACGATGCTTCAAACAGCAATCGGGCTTCTGCAGAGAACTAACATGAACAATCGACGACTGTAGTGGGGTCGTGGACAGTGCTTCAGACGAGCATTCAACGCGAATGTATGTGGGTTCCTGCTTCTTATTTCCTTCCTCCCGTGCATTCCTTGCAGATCATCAAGCTTACTGGGTTGGAAAAACAGAACCAAAGTGCCCAATGCCCAATTCGCTACACAGACATTTTACTGTAAAAGCCTAGAACGACAGAAAACCTCTCTGACCGCGAACCGCGCCATCCCAATCTCCCTTGTTTTCCAAAACCTTGTTCACATCTTCTGTCCATGGGAATACTACGATCATTCGGATTTTATGAAGCCTGCTTCCGCCTTCTACATCTGTGCGATTGCGAGATCCGCTAGTAATGGGAACTGTTTCCCGAGTGATTCTGTCAGAATTGCGTTGTCTATGGGGAAGTAAGATGTACTTACGGGGAACCCTCTGGGTTGGACGACTCGCTCATATTACAGCTGCTGCATTATTTGGTGCGACTTCCACCATGTCGTGTTCATTTGAAGATCCAGTAGGAGATCTAAGAATTTGGGCTGTTCAAACATTTGGACTTTCGAAATCTTCCACCATATCATGTTGACTTGGATATCCAGTATGATATCTACGAATGGGCGTTCAAACATTTAATCCACCTCCCAAGAAGACGCTCCTCAAATGGAAATCCTCTCACGGTTCGAATATACCATCGGCCGTATTCCTAATCTCCCGAGTGGCTTTCTTCGGTAGCCCCTGTGAGAATCCTTGCCATTGCACATTCTGCATATGTTAAGAGTCCAAGATCCCAGAAATAGCAGAAAGATACAATATTCATACGGGTACACTATAAGCAGCCCACAAAACCTATCGAAGGCATTTACTATTGTTCCGAGTTCAGAAGCATAAGAAATACATTGCCTTCAGAATCCATCGTCCGTCGCCTCTGTTTTTGTCCTTTGCAATGCGTATAGGTATTCCTGCTGAGGAAATAACAGTATCAAAGACCGACCGATTCGAATATTAAATTTTTCTGAGTTTTGTACAGAAAACCCGATAATATACAGAAAAAGAACATCAAAGGCTTTCATGATTGTTCCGCACTCAGAAGGACAACAAACATGTTACAATCACAATTCAACTTCGAATATCTGCACATGAGATAGTTTCTCCATGGTTTCCAGAATTTTCCTTTACTAAATTAGGGAATTACGAAGTCTTGAAGGTCAGGATTTGACGTTTAGTGGGCATTCTTCCAACAATAAAGAACGAATTCTGGGACAAACTGAGCCAAGGAATTAAAGATTGAACTTTACAAGACTCCAAATGCTGATACAATTCTCATAAAGATCTCACTGAAATTGTTCTGCCCCTAATTTTCGCATGATGAATATCCTCTGTTGCTTCGTGTAACAGATCTGAAGGACATGCAGTAACTTCTTCAGGTTAAACAACTAACCAACTCTATGCCAAATTCTACGACCATATCACTCCAGAAAGATAATACATGCTGAATAATGCTGAAGGACTGTGCTAAATGACTTCTCATATCCTGCAGGACCTATTGGTATATTCCAATGGATGGCTAATTGAACAGAGTAGCTTTTAAAGATTGACTGGTATAGCTTTTCATTTTCTTCCAATAAGGACTCAAATGACAAAGCTGCTTCACAATCAACATGTCCAAAATGACAGAAGTCCATACCAGATTATCCTAACAGTCTTCACCTTATTTCAATTGTACATATGTGTACACTCAGTTCGTGTGGTTCACACTAGATGTGGAGAAAAAATTTCAACTTGGGCAAAAAAATATTTCAGGTTTAGATTCTCGTTTTCAGGGGTACAAGCTAAACTAAGGTTTTTGTTGTTTCTTTCCTCCAACATATGAAATATAATGACAAGTATCTAACTGTCAACACAGAGCACAATCAGTGAGTGGGGCTCTCGTTGATTATAATTACACTTGATAAGGATAGCTGCAAAAATAATGTGGACTGAACTATTAAGAGGGTGTATGTCTACCCCTGGTTAGTATAAACACACTATTTACGATGACCTGTGTAACTTTCAGAAAACTCTGCAAAGTTTTCTAAAACTTCGAATGCTTTGACTTCTTTTAATATGACTGATAGTGATAAGTCTTATCACTAAAAGTAATTAACAATACAGTAGTCCGAAAGGACGCACATCACAACCCGTTTATTGGCAATATAAAACCCTATCAGGATCTATTAACAACATCTTGTGTCCACGATCGGACCCCAATCACACTTCCTAATCTTCACTACTCTTTGGGAAAGAGACAGAGAATGAGCTCTTTTATGTCAATGATATCCACGAGCGATACCTGATATCGCTCTTTGATACCAGGTATCCAAAGTCCAGCCACACAATACCCGGTCGAAACAGTCAAAGATGAGCTAGTTAAGTTGAAGGATGATGATATGGACTAAATGATGTGTAGATACAAAGCAGCATGTTCAATTTACCAGAAAAAGTGAAAGAATTTTTTTTTGGTCCGCTTCAGTCTCTTCTTTCTTGATGTAACTAAGAGAATATTTTCTAGCCCATAGAACGAACCTGCCTAGATGTATATAATAGACGGAGTCAACGTGCGAACTTGCGTACTGGGAATTATACCGACGATACTTTTACTCAAACAATTAAGAGTAAGTAAACACGAAGACCAGCATGTGAGATACTGGACCAAACTTGAGTAGATTTGGTACAAAGCAGTGATGTCTTAGTGCCCACAGCAAACCCATGGAGCCTGTAACATAAAGAGGAGATTGAACACTTCATGTTCTTCACTTTGAACCCACATAGAACAAAATATATTTGACGATTATGTCTGGGGTATGCGAACATAATAGTCATCTAACGGAAAACACCCATAATGGACATCTAACGGGAAACACCCATAATGGACGTGTGAAGTCAGCAACGAACTACAAGCTATAAGAAATCTACAAAGAGCCAAATATAAACTCATAAACTAGCAGTCCTCATACACGATGCAACTGTCCAGGTTGAAGTGTACTCTAGGAATAAAGCTGTCAAATGTGAAATCCAAAGAACCAAACCCTGTCTGAACGGATAAAAAGAAGGGCAGAATGCGAAAGATATCAAAGAGAACCCAGATGCGATACAGAAACTACAGGACTACCTCATTACCTATAACGGTGTTCACTGGGTAGAAGAGCCACTACTCCTCACCACGAACTTTTGTCACTGTCAGGGCCAATGGCCCCCTATTCGTTATATCTTGTACCCATTTTACATTCCATCTGACCTTCTATATACGTCTAGTGAACGACACCCGATCCTGTCTAGTTCATGAACAAGGGATCTCCCAGTACCACCGTACTTTATATGAGTGCCTTGGCATATGATGAATAGAATCAAAACCAACCGTAAATTCTCCTGGTGGTCAAGAGGCTATACTCAGAATGAGCAACTACCTGAATCAAGTAAACGTATCAGTGAAGAAAAAATATTATATTTTGGCTGGTATGAATACAGAAAACGTGTACACAGTAAGGCAGGAAGTTCTAAATTTTTCAACCCACCTCCAGGTTGTCAAGGAACTGTGTACAGAATGTGCAACTACCTGGGTCAACAAACCAATTGAACTAATTGGCTGGTGTAGATACAACAACCGTTTAATCTCTACAACAGACAGATTTTATGCTTCAAGTTTTAATAGAAACTGTGCCTTGAAAAAATTACATGTACAGCAATGTATAATAGGAAGTCAATGTAAGTGCAACATGCCTCAGTCCACGATTTCTTTTCCTTGATACGCAAGGAGTAAAATGTACTCAAAGAGAAAAGATCAGCCACATAACTGACTTCAAAACATTCAGGAACGTGATCCATGAAATCCAGAGTCACAAGAAATCCAGACAGGAAATACTGAGAATGCGTGCGGGGAGGAAACTAATTGTAATAATACCATGACACCAGAGGCCCTACGACAGGCCAAGGTGGCCGTCTTCGAGACGAAAATGTCTCAAGAACAGCTTTACCGCCAAAAACCGAACGTACAACGAGAAAATGTCAAGAAACGCCATGCAAAGACGAAGTGAAGGCGATAATGTGCCGGGAAGAGCGAGAAAGGAGCGCACCTGCGCGCGCGTAGCATCGCGAAACTCTTGCACCCGACGCCACGACACCATGTTCACTCGCCGAGCCCAATTTCGCAACACCAACGAGCCTTCGATCGAATTGAGCGGCACAATCCGTCGATTAAGACACGGGAAATTCAAGTTTCAGAGTTCAGGAAACAGTAGAGACGAGCCGCGAACGAGCCGAGCTTTGCAAAGGTGGCAATGCGACAGCGCCCGTTTGCCCGAGCGGGGTACGGGTGCATGCACCTGGGCGCGATTCCGGCGTTTCACTCTTACTTTTACCGAGCCCACTCCTCGATCTGCTCTCGAATATTGAACGCCCACGATATGTCTCGAGGGCCCACTCCCGCCCTGTTGACGAGCTGAAGAATAATAAAACCAGTGCCTCAATAATGCCATTTCGAGTATTTCGTAATAAATATATACTCGAAATTTCATAAAGTCCAGACTTCCGAAGAACATAGCTTCGATTGAAAATCATTTCCATCTTCCATCGAGAAAATGGTGAAAGTGAAAAGAACAAAATGATGGAAAATGGGGCTGTTGGGTTAATGGTGGCCCCAGCAGCATCAAGTCAATAGCATCTTCTATATAAGGGAAGCCAGCCATGAAGCTTTATGCTGTCAAGGAACAAATTTAAAACTCCACTCTCGTCTCGTTACTGGCTGGCAGCGGAGAGATGGATAACTCGGAAGGTTGCAGTTAGTCCTGCGGGTGGGACCGAGCGGCCATGGTAGGAACATTTTCCCATACCTCGTTGGACAGATAGATGGATAGCGAGGTCCAGCACCTGCAAGCAAGTCGAGTATTTGCATGGCCAAATCTACGTCGCGATCATTCTGTCCGAGTACTCGAAATGTCATGATTTTAAGACATCGGTACGACATTAGAGCCGCTCCTTTAAGTTGGCTGGCTGCTCTACAATTGGCAACATCGCCGACATGCTTGCTAAATTGCTCGGTGTAGGACGTAATTCCCCAAGACTCTTCCCGCAAGAGTATCACCAACGAGTTGAATTAAATGTACGCGAAATCTTCTCACCTTTGCAAGCAAGCAACACCACCAGCACACTTTCTCGACATGTTAGAGTGCACTCGTGGGCGGTCAGACAATCTCCCTGCAGCTGCTCTGCTGAAATGGACATAGTCAGCCGCCATGCAGAAACACTTTTCAAACATTCCCCAAGTTTAGGAAAAGCTTTCCTACGAACCAGATCTAGCAAAAACGGGGAGGATAAATAAATTACTTGACTGAGCTTTATGCTGGCGATACTATCCCCGTACCAAACAATTTATAGCGTCAAAAATCCATTGGTCATTTTTACGAATGGGGAAAGACTCAGTTTTTTGAGATATTTTGTCATGCTTATCTAAACTCCTACAACAACTCCCCTAGAGATGAAATATATCTTCGCTAAAACGGATAATTTCCACCGAGCTGGGTATCCATGATCTCCAGTTGCAGGTCTTCTCTTGAAGTTGTTTCTCCTTAACGAAGCAATCATACAACCATTCGCGATAAAATTTTAGTGCTAATAACTTTCTAACGATGCAGATTTTCTTTCGGGATGCAAGAATAGTTTTTTTTTTCTTTAATATTCTCTATAATATTGACCGCGCATCTCCATTTGCTAAATCTTAACATGAACGATATGATCACACGTCTCAACTAGTATAAGCTGCGTTTGTACGTTCTGCTTGTTGCATTTGAGCTGCAAATGTACTTGCGTCTCCAATATTAAACAGCTTTTATAAGGAGTGCCACATTCTAGCGTATAAATTCATTTCTAATCACTTTCTATTCATATCAGAGATCTATAATCATAAAATTCTTACCGCAAGGTGGAGTGAACCAATAATGTATTTCATTGCAAGTTCTGAACAATACAACGTTAAAATGAAACACTCAGCAGATAGTGTGGTTCATCTCATTGAGATGAAATCGTGTAGAAAGTAGGAATCAGGTGTCACTATGAGTGCTTTTTGTAAAGAGACAAATTAATTTTGAAAAATATAGGCAGCCAACATTTGTGAATTAATTGTAGGGGGAATAGCCATAAAAGTTGTTACTCTGGCGGCCTTGAGATAGATAATGAGGAATTCATTTCATTTTTATTTATCGTATTTTTAAACTCTATGTCTCAATTGCCAAAGTTCTTACCATTATTGCGGAAGATGCAATTGTAATAGATTTGATAACGGAAGCGTCAAAACTATTGGAAGCAATATGATGCTTTAATTTTATTCAGATGTTAGATATCATGAATGCGGTTCTAAAAAAGTGAGCTGTTCTTTCTTAAGCTTTACGGCGAAAGGATCATAATATCCTCAACACTATGGACGTTGTTGCTGTTACAATATATGACAAATTTATGATTGAAATGCAATGACAAGAAGTATAGAAGATGGTGCATGGACTGGTTACATTTTTATGTTTCACAGAAAATATCACTACCCTTGATATGATATGGAATCAAGTTATGTGACTACGAGACGCCTTTGTTTTTCTCAATATTCTTTTGTATTGATGAAACGGATTGCCTATCTATGTCACATTTTTGCTCATGGAAATGTCGCAGAACTAGTTGAGTTGGAGTGTATGTATCCACAAGACTTTGAATAGTATGACATAGTTATGTTAGAATAGCATATTTTTCAATTCCAAACAAAATTGAGATCAAACAAAGCTTTGTACTAGATTTGATCTCTCTTCGCTTTAACAATCAAGTTGTTTGAACTCAATAAATCTTTTACATATCATCTTGTATTTTGACTAATCAATCTAGCCTTAACTTTACAATTTAGCATCAAGTCAACAAAACGCACATTCTCAACATTGAAGATTTTAAAAAGCCGATTGAGGAACAAAATGGGCAACGAGTACCTTGATGATGCTCTCAATTTTTTTGGAAAAGAATTAGCACAAGGAATAACCACTAAGCTTATGATCAAGAAATTTCAAGCGCTCAACATTGGATAACTTCAATTGGATTAATACACAAAATTCAATTTTTTATATTTTGGGTTTATTTCTCTAAGTAATCTCTCATGGGTTCCAAAAATTTTGGTTGTAACAAAGTTCAATAATACAATTAACCATTTAAATTCCAAAAATTTTTGGCTGCAACGTTACATAAATACATGGGCGAAGACCTCACCAAAAAAATCTTGTCTCAGCCATTGGATTTGTCTAAGTGGATATAAAATTTTCATTGAAATGGATTTTTTGTGAATCGATTTCTAGACATGCATTATTGCCAAAATAAGAGATGATTTATTTTAAGTGTCACAACAAGAACTAGCATTCTTCTTATCTTTTGATCATTGATGGAATTACATGACTATCATGGAACTAATGTATTGAAAGGTTAAGCCAACTCTCGATTCTCCTGTTGAATACAATTCTACGATGTACATGCTATCGTCTTTAAAAAGTTGGATGCTTGTGGATCTTGTCTTGATGTGAACTGCTAGATACTTTGTCTTAAATTCAGTGGCTTTTCCATCCATATACACACTAATTGTTAAAATACGTTATATGCAACAACGTTGATGACTAGATGCTCCTCTATTTTACTTATTTCATCTATTAAACAGATGAAATATATCAAAAATGTATCCATACTTACAAGAATGTTAACACGATCTGTTAACATTCTTATGGATACATTTTTGATGTGTTTACTTTCAGTACTTGGGCTTGAAATCCATCAGTCCACAAAGTGGCTTGATGGTTTCGCCTTGCTCCAGTATGCAAAAAATGAAAATGAATCATATGGGTTGCAGTCCGCTAGAACAATTAACGATTAGTATTAATATTAAAAAACCTGTATGTTTCTACTACCAATTAATCTTCTCGTTATCAATTGAGTATTGCCGGGCAAAGTAGGTGATGACTAATTGTAGACACAAGGACATATTTCCCTTGCTTTCATCCGTGAATCGCTTGATGAGGGCTTTTAATTATATTACTCGCTGCTCTCTCAGAATCGGGCCCGAACTCGACCAGCGACCGATCCGAGCGTCGTGAGGAATGAACAGACCGCGGGGAGGCTGTGTTCTGTGTTGGTGAGCCAGAGGCTGCATTCATAGAGCGATCGGATCGGTGACAATTTGGTTGCAGTGCGTATTGCGGTGCTACGGGCCGTAAGCAGCAGCAGAAGCAGCAGCGGGGAGGGATGGCGCTCTCATGGAATATCGCGAGGGCTACGAGCACGAAGGCGTCGTCGGCGTCCATGGAGGAGGCCAGGCATAGGACTCTGGAATTCTTTCGGGAGGCTTGTCGGGCTCTTCCGCAGCTGATGGATCGCTACAATTTGGACGAGGTCATCACCCAGTCGCAGCTCCGCTCGAAGATTGCCGCGCAGTTCCGCAAGCATGCGGCTGTCACTAACCCTAAGGTGTGTCCCCTCTCGGTGTCATCCGCTTCGAATTCATGGACTTTAGCGTGGATTTGCCTCTCCAGTTCCGATTTCTAGGGTATTGCTGGATCGTGATCAGATTATAGCCTGTCGATCACAGATCCGGCTCATTTTTAAAATAACATAACAAATTCTTCCTAGCGTTGCGTGTTGGTGAGCTTGAACCTTTGTACATGTCACTGGTGTTATCCATGAACATCTGAATTTGAGCTGAGATCCTAGTCATTTTCTTGGAAATTCAGCAATCACTGTGGAAGAATCCATCTGGCAATCTATACGCATTCTGGGTCATATAATCTGCACCGCAATATTTAAATGCCGCTGATTGAGAGCTGCGGGATGTTCACTGATTTGCCACCAAATTATACCTTGGAAGTCATTTCAGTGTGACAGGTCTGTACATTCCTTTGTGGAATGTCCATTTCTTCTTGTCGAGTTTTTACAGAACGTCAGTTTGCCTGTTACTATTTTGTGCCTAGGTTACCGTCATCATGTTTGTAAGACGTGTTGAATCCAAGTTGGGTAAGGGAACTTAAAGAGGAAGAGTGCTAAACCTCTATCCTCCCAAAGCACGTAGAGAATGCCGCATGCATGATATCAGCCTTACCGACAATGCATTACTAAAAATTCATTGGGAATACGGACAATTACAAAATGTTGCGTTGGGTTCGCTGCATTTTTCTGGAGGTGTGAGTTGGATTCACCTTAGACATGAGAAGTTGCATCCTGCTCATGACATGGAACTGAACAGATGGAAGCAGACAGGACGCGACAGCTTTAGTTCTAAGTTTCCTTTCACTTAGTTTGAGTAGGTGTCTGCGATGGGAATTGGTGAGATTGTATGAAGGCCTCTTTGACGTTAACGATTTGAAACGTGGAGCTGTTTCCAGTCAACTCTTCAAATGGAGCTTTTCATTTCATGAATGATATGTGCCAACTCGATGTGTTACCTGTCTGCACTTTACACTTGTTGGTCTAAATTTCTGAGAAGTGCTTCATTTATGTTTCAGATTGTGGACATGCTCGTCTTCAAGGGCAAGGAAGAGCTACAATACTGTTTAGATCATGCAAAACAGCGACATCATCTTATCAGCACTTACGTCGTTGGATCCGAGGGCCAAGTAGCTCTGAAGAAGCTGGGTACTGTTGATCACGGAGAGTCAAAGTTTCTCAAGAATTTCTACCAAAGCAACTTGTTTTAAGATTCTGAAGCAGCAAGAACACACTTTGGTGGGTTGTTTATATACCCTTGTACGTTCTCATCTGTCTGGAAGCGGTAGTATCTTCACTGGTTGAAACTGACCTTCTGGACCAAGATATGTCGAATTTCATCTTGAATGGGCGACAACAATAAGTGCGAAGTGTTGGAAGCGAAGCTGCATCCATCCTTTTACTGAGAAGTAGGTGCGCCGTCTATAGGAGTTGCCAGAAATTACAAATCGCAGAGTAGGTAAATAACTCGTCTTTTTTTTCTCCTTGTGTGACTGGATCATCATAGTATCCAAAGAGAGACTGTCACAGGTCGGAGAATACTGGCGCAGCTGAGCTGGGCAGATTCTCATGAGAAACCGGGTAGTCTTCGGCACTTGTGACGATTAGAGTAGTCATTGATTCATCCTCTTCATATTACAGCCGGGTTTTCACTCTGCATCTTTCATACCAATCGAGAGTAACACCTTTTACTGACATCTTGTCTCACCTGTCACCGTTCCTTCTTCTTCCCTGTCAGTTTGTGGGCATCAATTGTCCGGAGGAGATCTGGAGAGAGGGAGTGGTCCACAGACTAGAACTGGTCCAAAGCTGTGGCTGTTGATTGAAAATTTTGTCAATTCTGCTCAGATATGACCCTGCGCTATGTACGATTGCCTGACGCTCGTGTACGTGACATATTTCCAGAAAGTTCATGGGAAGATCACTTACAATCTCTGAGCTCATATCGCAGCAGATGGTGATATTTCTTTCCAACACTGATCCAATGAAGTATGTGTGCGAGCAATGTCCATGTTCGTAGCGTCACGCAGATGGTTTGTTGGGAACATCGGGGAACATATTGAGAATAAAGCGGCGGAGACCTCACTTGCCAAAATTTAGTAAAGGTCTTTTGATTGATGTAGTTCCTACGATTCGTTTGTTCGAACATGAACGTGGAGATTCGAAATCGAAGTTGAAACAAAGTCCAGAGATGATGAGGTCTAGTTTATCCGATGATGAGAACATGTTTTTTCGTTGTAATTCAGTGCCGAAGTAACGCCGAATGACAGGCAACATAAACCTTGGATTTTTGTTAAGCCCACATGAACCACTGTCAAGACCAGTAGTATACAACGTTATGAGACATACACATGAGCACTTAGATAACATTAGAAGTCAGTCTTCTGAAAGAAAATTACTTGAAATTCGATGTCTTATCTAGACTTACTTGGGAGAGGGCAGAAGTAACTCACACCGGCGAGCTCTACTTAACGCAAGAGGTCACTTTGTCTCTCTAAAGTTGTTACGTGAATCTGTGTACTTACGGTTGTATTCAGTCTTTTTTCCGTGAGAAAAAGTAAATGTCAAACTACGGTATTTGGTTTATCTAACATAAAAGTTCAAAAATTATATATTACTGCATACAATTTGACATAGTATTGCACAATATTCTAGAATGTAGTGCAATACTGTTCATAACTTTTAATGCATATGTAGAGATAAATATACTACTTTTTTTGAGAGTAATAAAGAATCCACATCCAATTTTTACACCAAACAAACTCAACTCAAATAGTGCAATGGGTACCCAATACAAGGAATGGGTGGTTATGAGTGAGATTGGCTGGTTAAAGAGTTTCACCTCCAAATAGTGACACTTACCGATCCTACACTTGAGGGTCACTACTCGGAGGTTTCGTAGTTTCAGGATGTGAAATGTAGAGTTACACTTGTTCGACGTTAAAAGTGGTTCACGTGTGTCACAAAATTCTCCAAGTTCATTTATTGCTTATTTTTTCTCATTTTCAAGGTTCAGTATGAAGAAATTGGAGTAAACTTGGAGCCACTCAGGATGGAGAGCATTAGCATTTTTGATAGCACATCCAAATGTTTAAAAAATTTGGAATAAAAGAGAAATTATCAGGCAGGTGTCAATGGAACCAAACAGAGATGGGGTTAAAATTATTTTTAGATCAACTCTAGTGCAAGTTCTTACAGACATGGTGCACTAATGACATGTGCGCGTTGAGTTCGATGCAACCTCGCAGAACTTGACTGGAGAAATGCTCAAAAACAAGGCTCTGTTTTTTCAAGACAAGATTCTAAATGACTTCGGCGAATGTTTGAAATCATCCGAATTTTATTTTTTTCAAACATTAGTTGCTTCAAATGGATGGTTGGAGAAATATCTGAAAAGCGTCTCAACATTTAGTGTGAAGAGGTGCGAACAGCTTCAATTTCATCCAGTTTGAGAAACGTTTACATAAAATTTGTGAAGCGTTGATCGATGTACCACTTGAATGTATTATCAACATTGATGAATCAGCTTTACAACATCGCACAACATCTTCACGGTTTTATTGCATAGCCAATTCAGATGATCGAGGTGTCAAGCGAAGCAAAGATAGAATCACAATTACGCTCGGAGTAAGCATTTCATGTGAAACATTTACCATTCAAGTTAGCACAAAGAGTGCTCGTCCACGGGCTTTGAAAGCTTTGAAGCATATTCCAGATATCAATAAGACTTTTGGAATTATTTATGAGCATCAACCTAAAGTTTGGCAGTACACATCATCTTATATGAGACTTCTCCACAAGTACAACAAGATTGTCAAGAATCAAAACGTTGTCTTCTATAACTGCAAGATAATTGCTCATTTCATGTTTGTCTGTCTAAGATTTTGGATCCATCAAGTTCACTAGGAAACTTTTTTTCGATATCAAAACTTGTGCATTATTTTTTCTCTACCAAATGCTACCAGCGAATGTCAAACTCTTGATCAAGGGCTCATTTGGTATTTCAAAGAGCACTTTTGCCATGCTCAACTGAACCACATAATGTCTGACTAAAAACTCTGGCAAGCGACTCAACGTGCACCTCATTCTCAATTTTCAATTCACGATCATACACATTTACTCAATGTGCTTAGTTGGATAAGTCGGCATCAGATAAAGTCGAGGAGAATACCATTTGAAGATGCTTTGTGAAAGCCAATTGTCTCCTTGTCATACCTCAAGTGAATTCTAATCAAGATATTGATAGATTTGTTAGAGGCTCAAATCAAACGATAGATGATTTAGTGGAAATTTGACTCGATGTTTTTTTCTCATGTTCTCTTGGTCTTGATGACGCAAGTATTGAAGAAGTTGCTGAAAATTTAATTGATTTAGATGCTCTTGATGCTACTGGCAATGACAATATTGATGATAGTGACATGGTCAAATCTGTACTTGAAGATCACAACCTCTTGCAAAGTGCGAGCCATTCAGAGAACGAGATATTGTCCAAGTACCGATTCTGGTTACCATTGAGCAAGCGAACGAAGCCAGCATTGATTTGATTAACTTCTTTTCCACTCAGTCATCTTTACCTACAAATCTTTAAGGTAATTTATTCTCTAATCTCTAAAGAGTTCGTCGTCTGTTGACACGTCAACAACAATTTGGATTCCCTCACACAATCTACGAAGATAGAAGATTAGTACATGATAGTATGAATTTACAGACAGACAAACGTCTCTATTCATTCTTAATCGATGATGACAAATTATGTTAATTTGATTATCAGTGACTAATTTATGCAAATATACTATTACAATTATAAATCATTCCATGAAATTTGGTCTAGATTGTTCGCAATTCTAATTACAGTTTCAAATTTGCACTTTTCACTCAATGGTCTCCGAATAATAATTTGTGGCATGTTTTCTTGCTCTGGAACTATCAGTCAATTGATTTGATGTATCTTTTAGATTTTCTCAAGAGATATGCGGATGTAAGAGAGAGAATAACAAGATTACCAAACATCTTTTTATGAAATCTACAACTGTCAATTGATTCGATGTATCTTTTCGATTTCCCGAGAAGTTTTGCCAATTCTAGAAGTAAGAGAGAGAGTTACGTGATGGCACAACATCTTGCTCTCGAATGTCTGTTGATGTATCTTTTTGATCTCTTAAGGAGTTTCAGTGTGAGAGATGTAAGATTTTTTGATGTAAGAGAGAAAGAAAGAGTTTTTGTATAAGTATCGTTCAGAGTTCTAGTCCATCGTTATCGATATTATAATAGAAGATCTAAACTTAAAAATTAAAATAGTCATCATCGATTGTGAGGGTGTAGATTGATTCGCGAATTTGAACCCTGCCTCTCCAGTTTTGTAATCATTTGTTCATCTCATAAAGCCGTTCGTTCTCCACAAGCTCGAGCAAGAACTATAAGATTCTTTGACACCATTCAGCCCGTTTTGAATTTTATCCAATAAGGACTAGATGATGACAATGATCGGATTAGAACCTTTTATTTTTTGTTCCTTATCCTGCTTGTGAACGCAATGGCAAATTGATTTGATGTATCTCGAGAGTTTCTGCGTAAGAGAGATGAAAAGAGTTTCTGATGTAAGAAAGAAAGAAGTAGCTTACGTATCACGATCAATGCGAGTTCCAACCCATCGTTATCAAAATTATAATACGAGATTTAAACTTAAAAATTAAAATGGTCATCATCGGTTGTGAGTGTGTAGATTGATTCGTGAATTTGGACCCTACCTCTCCAATTTCATAATCATTTGTTCATCTTCAAAGTTTGTTCGTTATACAAATGCTCCAGCAACAACGTTAGGATTCTTTGACGTCATTCATCCCATCCTAAATTTTATACAACAAAGATTAGATGATGACAATGATTGGCAGCACTCTCGGATCATAACCTTTTATTTCTTGTAAACGCAATAGCAAGCTTAAGCACTTGCCACATTTAGTGAGTTCAATCACTTGATCTACAACGCGCCAAAAATTTATTAAGAAGTCGAGATCTCCATCTGGATTTGCTTTTGTGCCATAATTGCGTCGTTCATGAACTGATTAGCGCCACTAAATTTATGTTAGCATTAAATTTCTTTCGTATCCCATACTTTTTCCACCCGAAAGAACCTTGAGACATATCTTCTCTTCCTTCCAAAGCTCGACCAGATGGAATAGAAACTCTGCCGACATCCCTAATAGACGAGTCAACTTCAGGGATAGAGATTTCATAGCACTTCGTGAAACTTGGCATTCACGAATTTCAAACATGTTCAGACATAATCTAATCTGACATGAAAGCTTCAAAACGTACAAGGAAACATTTACATTTACATGCTGCTACCAAGTGAAAGAAAGAGTTATGTGATGGCATAACATCTTGCTCTGAATTTACGCACTGACACGAGATCTCCCGGTGAGTACATCTAGCTCTTGAAGAATGCTTTGAAGTTTTCCTACGAAGCTTTGTTATGAACTCTATTACGAGGTCTGCCGTGAGGACATCTAGCATTGACACGAGATTTCTCGGTGATGACATCTAGCTCTTGAAGAATGCTCTGAAGTTTTCATATGAAGCTTTGTTATGAACTCTATTACGAGGTTTGCCGGTGAGGACATCTAGCTTGTGAAGAATGCTCTGAAGTTTTCCTACGAAGCTCTATTATGAAATATGTTACGAGGTCTGCCGGTGATGACATCTCGCTTGTGAAGAATGCTCCGACGTTTTCCTACGCACTTTGTCGGTGAACTGGAAAAATTTTGTTGAAAATCTTGAAGCCCGTGGCAAATATTTGCCACATGCCACAGACGGTCATTATTTTAGATGTTACGTCACTATTAGAAAATAGTGACGTACCGTTCTTATTTGATAGATTTTCAAGCTACGATCTAATGGTTCTTCACTTTTAAGTCACTATTGAGAGGTTAACCTCTGTACTCATAATTATGGATACAAAAATATCCACCCATACCCATGGCGCAATGGGTGGATGGGTAATGGATGGATATTATGAATGGATGAGTATGAGTGATACTGTATGTTAAAACGATCGAGTTAAATGATTGAGCTCTCGGATTGGGCCACGCCAATAGCTAATCAGCATATTGTGATGATTAGTTATTACTTGTCATATATCTACCGAAAAGTCTAATTCATACTTTGAATAAAAAACCTTTTTGTAAACACATGTTTTACGGATAATCAAGTGAGTATTGTTTGTAGACCAAAGTGGAAGAAAGGAGAAGATTGTGGTCACATCAAGCTTTCCAACAAATTCAACCCAATCTTTAGATTTTCATTGGCATGTCATTCTTTTCAAGAACTCTTCAAGTGTTCTTAAGTAGCTTTATTTTGATGATGTAAATAATGGATATGGACCGGGTGACATGGGTGAGTAATGGTTGGATGCAAGTGACGGCGCAATGCATGACTCCTGCTGCACAAATGATACTGCCTAGTAATATGTCTTGTACTATACATGGTGCAGAAAGATAGTTAACTGGTTTACTTTGTCTTCCTCATCTTTTTCAAAGAAGTATCATTATAAGCATGATATAAGTACACTTCTAACATGTCATAAGTGCTTACATATAACTTTGAAGCATTCATCCAAAATACATGACATTATTTCATCTCAAAAGATACTAAGATACCTAAACATGTATTATCGTATGCAACCACAATCTCTTATGTCCAATTGTCATGTCAAGTAATTCAAGCGTTAAATTTATATATTATCAGTCACATATGAAGTTAACTTACTTTTTTCTTAATCAGATTGCAAATTCAATTAATAAGACATTATCATTTTGTGTTCAATGTTAAATTCATCAAATTTTTTACTTTGATGAATTTAATCAAAATGGTTATGAATTTTTTATTTCTTTTGCATCCAACATTACATTTCAAACTTCTACAATTGTAATCATAATTAGTGATATAATTGTAGAGTTTTCTATAATATAATATTCTTGCATTTGCATAATCAACATCATTATAATGATGTATGATGAAGATCATCACTCAAGTCTTCAAAACATATTTGAACATAATATAAACAACTTTCAATATTTGTCATTTGCATAAAAATTCAAAATATGAAATTTTAAAAAATATAGGGATTAGTGCTTTGTAAATCATATTATTTTTTGGATTATTATAATAAGTATCAACATGCAAAGCATCTAACATCATATTCTTTAATGACACATTTCTTATGTAATTGTTATTATGAGATGATTACAATTACATAACATAAACTTCAATGAAATAAATCCAAGTTACTCGAATGTTAAGACATTTGCATCTTATTATTAATAAAAAAAATTGAGTTTTGTTCATATCATAACTTTGTTTTAGCTTTCCTAACTTCTAGTTTTGAATAAACATTGACATACTGATGGGTTTGTGATTAAGACTAGTACTTCAAACAATTGATGAAGTTCATTAAATATTGTTAAATACTCATTGATTTTTAACAAGTTGAACTTTTCTTCATAAACAAGATCAGACAAGATGATCATGATGTTTCATGAAATAAGTTTCTATTTCAAATGGATATATTATGCATTTAGTATTAACTTAGTTCAATTCATATATCTCATATCAATTTATATTAGCTTATGTCTTTGCCAAATCAATAGTAATACTTATCAACTAACATTGTCAATTCTATAAATGTAGATAATATTTTGAAATTTGACTATTAGTATTTATTCCCAATTACTTTTTACAATAAGAAAATATTTTCCGAATTATTTAAAATTATTTACAATAAAATAATAAATAATTATTTATATATATTAAAAGATAGTAACAACAATAATAAATTCATAAAATCCATATTGTAATTTATTACAAGCATGATATTTCAAGTAGCTCATAAGTTTCAAACGCTTTTCATACTTACACTATTGACTTAAATTCATATTCAAATAATTAAAACTTCACATTCAAAATTTGTTACAAAGTGTTATATTTTATTTTTTATGACTTGAATACTATTATACCTCATTATATTGATTTTCTTCATTGAAAAATTCAATGCAAATAACATTAACTAAGATATTTGTTTAATTTTCATAAAAAATATATTATGCATGAATTTTTGAATCTTATTTTGAACCTATTAAAAATATAATGCTATTAAAATAATAATCAAACCTCTTTGCAAATAATAATGAGAAAATTATTGGCCCTGATATTTATTTTAAATTTAAGTGTGCATCCATATAATTTTCAAAAAACCAGTTCATAATTTTTAAATACCTAAAAACAATTTTTTCTTCAAACAATTTTTTTCATAAGAAATTTACCAAAAAATTTCTTATAAATTATTTATAAAAAAACATGAAAATAATATTTTTTTCATGCATTTGTCATTTATAGGGTAGTTGTATATCATCTGTAAATGAAAATATCATTGTTTTTCTTGCGTAATAAACATGAAAACATGATGAATCATTGTTGGAGTTGTGATTACATGATTTGTAATGTTTTATTTTGTTCACACGTTGCTCACTTAGCCGCATTTTTTAAATATACATGAAATATAATATTCAATATTACATATATTAAATTCCTTGCTAAATATGTGTAGTAAATTTCAAGCTGCATAAGGGATTTCATCTGGTACTTGAATAATAAAATTTTTGCGTATGCAAAATAACATATGGGATGGAATCATTCTGAAGTTAGTTTGTTTGGGATTCATGTCCATACATTCTGAAACAACAATTGGTTTCAAAGGTGCAAATTGACTAAAAGAAACCCACCTTTTGACATAGATGATGTTGATGGAAAGTGGGATAAATCTAGAAGTATCCATATTCTTTTTTATCAAATCTGTTTGGAACTATTAGGACAGAGCTCCAACGCGATACATTTATTTTTAATGATTCATTATTCTATATTTCAAGCCTTCAAACATATATTCTTCTTCTTCAATACCAATTTTCAATGATTGCAAGTGCTAGACTCTACCAATTTGCAAAATAATCGTTTGAAAACACAGGATGGTTTGTGTACTTGATGATGGTGTAACGAGCAACTTCAACAAAGAAGATGTAAACTCGACTTCAAACTTTCAGAACCTCTTAAACTCAACTTGAAATTCTTCATAAAGTGACCCCACAAGCTCACCAGGTTATATACTCTTCTTAGATTTTCATTTCAATATAACTTTTTGATCGATCCTTCCATAAAGAATTCATGAACGAGGGCTCTGTGTCTTTGTCTTTTATCCAACATCTCCTCTCTTCGGTCAAAAAAATTGAAAATCGCACATCTTGTACACTTTGTTTCATAAGACAAAAAGCCCATGAAAACGATGCTAGAGTACACAAAAGCATTTGACCTTTTCCACTTTCAACTCCATAAGTCAATCCGTTTGACCACATAATTTATTTCCATGTTTTGTAGCCCACATAATGTAGCCCCTCCCTCTCATCTCCTGCAACAGAAAAATTGACCTGGCTCCAAACACATGTATTAAGATCTCACACTCCAAGTTATAACATTAATGTATTGAGGAACGACTTTTAGATCCCACGAGTAGCAGTTAGACCTGTAGTGTGACGCAGCTCAGCACACGCTGTTCAATGCCCACACTGGCCATGTGGCGGCCGGGATGTAAACTACGTGAACTGCATGGTAGCAGTCGTAGTCAATTGCCATCAGAAGCACAATGAGAATAGAGGAAACCGCAGTCAGGGACCAAACGAAGAGCGCAGTTTGGATTCGGGACAACGCAGTCGCAGTAACCAGTGCTGTCCCTCAGCTTGCGGCGATCCGAGAAGGCGGTGGTCGCCCCACAGCACTGAACCCGGTGACGCCCCAAGTTGTCAACCGTGGACGAGATCTCTACGTTTCAGATAAGGCGCGGGCCAATGGGCGACGAGCCTGCGCCAGCTGGACTCGTGACTAGCAAGCAAACGACGCAAATACAGGGTCTTCAAACCTTGCGGGGTGTTGACTGCTCTGAGCTGGCGGCCGCGCTCATCTGGAGCTTTTCTACGTCAGCTGCGTCGGCCAAGTGGTGGGGTAGGTGGCAGCCCTTCCGTCTTTAAATTATGGGCTCGTAGGACTTCGTCTTGGCCTTCTCTCCCGGCCGGGAACTCGGTACCTCCGGGGCGCTGCGCCGACGTCGGACGAGGTTTCGGGGATCGGAAAGTATGCCCGGCACTTTCCAGGGATTTCGTACAGAGTTGTGGCCTCCCCCCTGTACTATGGTACTGGAAATTGTACCCAAGGTCCTTTTGTGGGGATCGTCGCAGTTACATATGTAGGATGTACGTTTGTACCTGTCTATATCGTCCCGAATATTTAGACGATGATGATATAAACTATCTTATCCCTCGTTTGCGTACATGCATACCATTTTTCAGTTTCTTTTCCTTTTGGAAAGAATTTCTTTGCCTAGAGATGACTGGTTATTTGAAATTTCATTATTATTTTTCAAACTGTTCACGGAATAATGAATATTATCAATGGTTCTGTTTCAAAAGTCTACGGGTTATTACAACGTGTGTCAAATATTGCGAGTTTTCTTTTCTCCGTTCGTGCAGAGTTTGAATGATGGAAAATGCAGCTATATTTTTTCTAAATGTAATATCTTCCACTTTCAGAACGCGAAGGGAGATTTATTTGTACTTCCAGACTACTTATAAAATGAAGGGCACACCTAATATAAAGACTTTTGGGTCGGACCTTATTAAATGGACCAGTGCGCACGGACGCTCGCAAGAAACAGAGAGTGTTGGAAATTCACACTTTTCTTTATTCTCATTTCCGTACGCAATAAATAAGTCGCTCGAAATGAGCGACTTTGCTTCTCAAGGGAGACAAAACATTTGAGGATTTCGTCTACGAAGAATTCTATCGCCCTGGCGAAAGCAATGCTATGCAATGTAATAAATACTACAATCTGTCAATCTGTGATGTACAAGCTCTTCCAAAAGTCGCAGTCTCCGACCATAATTTGCTGCGGAAATTCATCCGGCGTCGAGCATCTGGGAATGATCGTGGTCGTGATCGTGGACATTGCAAATTCGAACGAATTAACAGCACTACGTATTTTCTCCGATCTGAAGTTTGAGTGATTACTGGGGACCCCTTGGGATCCAGTCGCTACCGTCGACCCAGTCCACAGTCAGGAAGGGGGCCACTTGACTATCGGTCAGAGCGTACGACCAGTACTCGCGGTCCTTCCTGTTGGCTCCTGGGCCGTAACACTTGTACTCTCCGTAGAACACAGTCCTGCACATGATCCAGACCAAGCGAGGTCAGATATCGGTAATGTATATCGGTATCCGGCTTCGAGGGCGGGCGGACCGGACAACACGTGACCGGGCCCCGGCTCCTCGACCACGGATCTCAAACTTGACGTCCGTAACTGTTACGATGTCGGGGGCTGCGACTGTTGAACATTCTGGATCGGCTATGTATCCGACGGAGGGTCAGTGACCGGACAGTGACGGGACATCTGACAGTGACCGGCGGTCGACGGTAGACGTCACATTCCGGCTCGAGAGGAGGATCTACGAGTCTCGATGTCTGACGAGTGAGCGAAATGCATGGAAAAAACGGGGGGCAGAGGGATCGTTACTTCTCTCGGCCGGGAACTCCCCAGTTGTACCAGCCTTCGGGGCGGATGATGGGGTCGAAGTATGTTCTGATGAAGACGACTCTCGAGTAGGGTCCCCACGCTCTGGACAGGTACAAGTATCCAGTTCCCTTCACGGTGCAGTCGACGAAAGAGTACCCGGTTTCTTCCTCCGCTGACATGCGCTTTTGCGCCGAGAGAGAGCCGAATGTCTTGGCCACGGATTGCAGCTCGCAAGTCTGGATGGATGGAAGGCCCAAGAATGTTAAATCGAGCTCGGAGAAGAGAGTGGAATGGTCGGGCTGGAAAAAGTAAATTGATGCGAGTGATAGTGAGGAAATGTACCTCGTAGTAGGATTGTCCATTTCCGAAAATGTAATCGATTGATCCTACGATCTTACAATCCTTGAAGTAATGTCGGCCATATCTGTCGTAGAGAGTGTCTTGGAACCCATAGAATGCGCACCGGTAAAAGGCAGCCTTGTCCCCTGATATCTCGAAGGCCACGGCTTGCTTGCCGACCGCACCGGGCTCAGGTTGTGGTGACGAGTTCTGAACATCAAAGAAGCCATCAGAGAACAACCAAACGAATCCGAACCATCACCATTCACTCACAACCTCTCCCGAAACATTACTTGACAGAAACACGAATGCCGACGATCCAGCTCTTGAATGCACAGCTCAAACAGAAGCCAAGGGTGACGTGCACATGAGCACGCCCAAACGAGAATCAGACGCCACGAATCCATGCGTGGTTACAGAGGCTCTGAGCTGAATCAGGGAGAATTACTCGACTTGGGGGAAGAAATGTACCTCGAAGGCGATGTCCTTGGCAATGAAGTTATCAGATTTTACTGAGACGGATGCACTCTTGAGAGTACCGCCGGCCTTGGTAGCGTCCAAGTTGTAAGTGATTTTCGTCTTCGTGTGTCCCTCTCCTTGTAGTGTGATGGGTCCCATTCCCGAGGGGATTTTGACATGCTCCCTGTTGTAAGCAAACACAGACACACACAGAGCAGAGGGGGAGAGTTAGAGTGAGTCACTTCGAGTCGAAATTGTTCAGTTCGGAATCTGACTTCACATGATAATGAAGCATTGATACATGGCGGCCTGCCCTGCTTTGAGCTGCGGGCAGCAGCATGGAAGAATCTTGCTCGTAGACCAATCGACAGATTGAACAGGTCAAACCAGAATGGCGGCTAAGAAACAAATGCGTCGATCGCCACAGAACATGCACGCGAAGCTCGACTTACTTGTAGGTTCCAGCCCTGACGTGAACGATGTAGCGCTCCTTGGCATCCTTGGGGATTGCCTTGATGGCCTTGTTGACACTCTTGTAGTCTCCTTTGCCACTCTTGTCGACCACAATGTACTTGATCTCAGAATCAGCATTCGCGGTGGCGTAGTGCACGCCCTTGGGCCCGTTCACATGCACCTTGGAGCTCTGCTTCTCGCCCATCCGACCGATCCATTCCTGAAATTCCTGTTCAATTTCGGCATCTGTTTGAGGAACCTTTTTCGCGGCCACGGTCGCTGCGTCTACTATTGAGAACGAGATAGCTGCTGCAGCAGCCGCCAGAAGGCAGACTGCGAGCACCTGCTGAGCCCTCATCGTGCCACGGCACAAGCAAACTCAATTGGCTCCCTCAGATACGAGCTTCTCGAGTTGTGATCAACAGCAGCGCCGCAGCAGAAGCAGCGAGCCTTCAGTGTCTCGGTCAGAGCGAAAAATTTCACAGGCCCACGGCCATATTAAATATGAGTGGGATACTCCGAGCAGCTGCTGCCCTCTAGCGGGGCGTCGGAGCGGGGACTGGGCAGAGGACTGCGGGATATACTCATTCTTCAGCGGAGCCCGCAGTATATAACTGGGTGCTTCGACTCCTGCACCGGATGAGTCTTGCAGCCCCTTCCTTGGATTCTTCTAATTCTGTACAAAGCAGATGACAATGACTTGCGGTAGTGAAAGACATGCCTGGAACCAGCTAGCCATCCTGTCCAGCACCGGGACGGGAATGCCTCGGAAATCCGTCCACTGAAAGAGCATCCCGCACATTATTGTAACCAGCGGAAGAAGGGGCGCAGAACTTCGGGCCTAAATCCTCTCTACAGCCGTCAACGAGGTAGATTCTCTTCCGGCTATTCAAAGAGAGACGGGGGAGAAGGACAGCCACACTCGCAGCTCGATCACTCAAGGTTAAAGGCAAGTGTCTTATTCCGACCGAAGCGCGAACTCAGTCTAAGCTGCAGCTGAACTGAACTGAACTGAACTGAGCTGAGCTGAGCTGAGCTGAGCCAAGCGGCCAGCTTCAGTTCGGAGCAGAAACGTCGGACTTGGGATTTGTCCTGTGGTGGGAAATCAAGCAGCCCAATTACTGCGAGATCCGAGGCACGGAGAATAGTCAAACCTCGAGGCTTCGCGAGGGGGGAGGGGCGGGGGAACAGAAAGGGAGGGGAAGGGAGGGCAGCAGAGCGGAGCAGAGTAGAGTAGGTCCACTGTCCCTCTCTCACTGGAGCGCAGTGAGGTTCAGAGAAGTTGTCATCTTCTAGTCCAAAGTCCAGGTGGTCCGTGCGTATGTTTGGACGCATGTGAGAAGGATAGCCACGCATTTCCCAGCGACGGGAGAAACTGTGATGTTTTGTCCCTTCCGATCCCTTTAACCGCTCGTCAGCATCCAAAGCATCAGCGAAGGAATTTCGCGCATCTGCGATTAATTTTGTCGTCTCGGCAGTCAGATCCTTGATTAGCAAAATGTCAGGTACCCCGAGCAACTCCATGTTTTCCTGCTGGCTTCGGAGCGCGCGGCGTGTCGGTGGTCGCTTGGCTCGGAAGCGAGTCCTTTCCGGGGGCAGCTCGCTACACGAAACAGCGATTGCCCCGCCCGCCCCCTTCTTTTTCAAGCGGAGCGACGGGACGAGAATAGCCGGCCATGCCAAAAATCTGTAGCCCGGGAATGCTGCCCCTCTCGGGACTCGGCCAGTGGACGGACACGCCAGTGGGAGCTTTTGATCATCTGCAGGCTTTCAGTGTGGTCACCGATTTGGGAAGTTCAAGGTTTACGGGTATCTCTATACTCCCGCCACATGCTGTACATACAATTCGACCTTTTCGCTCGCATGCCATCCTGTAATGCGATCCGGCCCGTGCTCTGCATTATCGAGACAACTGAAGGAGGAGTACGAGCTGCTGAGATGAAATGATACACGAGTGATCGATCTATAACGCCACCGGGACCACCGGAGGTTGCACTGGGGCCACCAATCTCGGGAGAGTTGGTGGATCGAAAGCCACCATTCTTGAAGAAGCAGCGTCGCCAATTAGTTTGCTGTATATTGGCTTTGTGCCCAAACTGCAGTCCGAACCAAAACATGCCTTAAGAAGTATTCATGGTAAAGGTTCCAGCACCCGTAAAAGAATTGACTTTCTGGAGAAATTAATATTTGTCCGCCCTCTGAACTTGTGGATTCCAAAAGGCACAGGCTTTCAGCCGACGAAAACTTTCCAGTTTAATTGTACACGGTTGAGGAAGTTTCCTCTGAGTTCCCTACTCCCGGTCATCTCCCGGTCATCTGGCCTTTTCCCGTCTCGTCCAGTCATGTTCCTATGTGCTTATCGATTGCACCTTCATGGTTATCATGCATGAATTTCTTCGTGCAGATTCAATCAATGTCCCTACTGCCAGTGTTCGCGCGTTTTTCAATTTCAATTTCTTGCCACTGCACGACACCAGGACATTCTCAGCACAGCATTTCCTCTTCCCACTGTCAAACTGCGTCCATGGAGGATGTAGTTAAACAAGGTTAACAGGTTAACAGATTAACGGGCTCTTTGGTTTATTAGTGTGCAGCACACAAATTAGGAACCGCGGGGCATGAGAGTTTGCCCCTCGTTGACCAACTGAGTTTACACACTTTGTAGGTAGAAACTTCCTGCAATGGAGTGAAGAGGTCTTGGATTCACTCAATTCATTGCGGAAGTTTGAACTTGTACTCTCCATGGTGGTGATCAAGATCTTCTACAATGTATGCCAACTCTATGTCAGTTTTAATTTTATAAGATTTCATTAACTTTTTAATAAACTTCGAGGAGGAGGATCATGATGCATTGTGAATTCACCTGAGCGCTCAGGTAATGAATTTCTTCTGCTGTACTTAAATATTTTTTCTTAGTTGCTACTGGAGCTGGAATTTTTAGTATGGATAGTCTTTGGATTTAGAGTCAGTCGCGAACCTGGGCCCTTGGACTTGGACCGAGGAGGTTCTTGAACTGAAGAGAGCGTTGTGCCTGTATGGAAGAGTAGGGGACAATGCAGTGACGCATGGCACCTGCTACTGGAATGTCACCGAAGAAGTGAATTTGAAAGACCTGCAAGGATTCCAAACCTCATGCTTTTCGATACCTTTGGAGAAGACCGCAGTATAAGGAAGAACGGCAATCCGTCGAGGAAGAGCGCTGTAATAATAACGGTGGTAACTTGCTCCCAGGTCTCATGAATTTCACGTTTACGTAGACGAAAAATTTCAGATATTTTTATCGTGAATTTTTGTAATGATAATCCGAGCAGTCTGAAGGAATGATGATAGTATCTACCCCTGTGCGTGACGTCGGCTCATAACTTTTTCCTTCATGCATATTACTTAATCCTGCCTGTTACCGAGTTAGTCTGCACTCCCATAGAAGCACTCAGATCATCAAGTGATTAAGGAGGCCAGTTGTGAAACACTGTGGGAATCAACTGGAGGATAACCTCGACATTAATTGACCCAATGGAAGAAACTGGTTTCGTTTACTTCCCATTCTCACTTTATCCGTGCTCCACCGAGACATTGAAAAGTTCAGATGTTGAAGCGTAATCAGGAGAAGAGATGTTAAGGGGGGGAACGCAATTGAACGCAGAACATGTAGTAGATATTAACAGAGAATCCGTATAAAACGAATTTGTTTCACGAGGAGTAAATTATACATGTTGCACAACTGACAGCTAACTGCATGCTGTCCGCTAGACAATCCGATGTAGGACCGTCTCTAAGGAAACGTCGGAGGTGACTGGAGCATGTGTGAAAAGGGGCAAACAAGTCTGATTCGACAATTCAGCATACTGCACCTGATTTGTAGAGCACCTCTGGTACTACTTCATTGTAGATTTCCTCTACATTACTACGTTTCTGTCATGTACCGTTGATTTAGAATCGCCTCGCGCATTTATCGGAGGTGCCATCTCGCGTGTTGACCTACGGATTTTGGGGTCTTCAATTCCATTTTGACTTTTTGGTCCAAAGGCAATTAGAGATTTCTCTTCGCATCACAAGTCTGCCTCTGGATGTATTTTAGATTGGTACCGCTTGCATCCCTACTTTAGAAGACACACTTGTCACAAAGGTCCATGTCAAATAATTATCTCTATAGATAGTCATGATCGATCACATTCATGCTGATCTTTATTCGAAGGGTATGAAAGTTTGGACTTGGATGGTGATAGAATATATTGGAGAAATCACCCGTAGGTTATAATTGGTTTGGAAGATATAAAAAGAAAGGCAAGTAGGGCGGGTGCGAAGAGGTTGATCATTTCATCGGATAGATTTCACTCTAGAGTTTCAAACAAAATATGAACGTATCGACAGAACGTAATACATACATCTTATTGGTGAACGTGAACACATGAATGGCAGATGTTTGTTTTCTTTGCTTGATTATATTAAACTTCATTAAATAGCACTTTTGCACTTTATCTCTTGTAAGACGAAAATTTTATATGTACTCCTTTATTACCGACTTTGACTCTCTCTAAAATAAATCTTCAGTGCTTGGCCAGTGCTTTTGTGCTGGTTCCTAAATCTCCCTTTGATACGAGTGTATCAAAGTCGTTATAGAGATTATCATTATTACTAGTATAATCTCCGCGCTTCGGAGATTTATTTGAAATGCACGCCGTACACCCATTTGTATAAAAATATTTATTTTTCATTACTCGGACACAATTTTCTGAGCTGTCTCTGGAAATCGTCTGAAGAATTGATAGAATTGAATATAGAAGCCTTCGTAGATATAATTCAACTCACTACTCCTAGATTTTAGTAACCAGCACATAAGCATTGGCCATACACTCTCACCTAAACATAATTTCTTTAGGATTGATGCATTGGAAGGTTCATTAACCTTGATAAGAAAGGAGACTCGTATATTTACATTTCGTAGGTTATAATTTTCCCACCCTTGGACGCAACAAAAGTAGCAGCCTCTGTCTAGTACATTAATTTCCGGTCCGGTTGACGGGACCGCGTCAGTTTGCCAGGCCACGTCGCCAGTGTTCTATCCGCACCCTGGAGCACATCGCGACGTCTCGCGACGCTGTCTGTCCTTACTGTCGCCCCTTCGGACGGTAGGGCTGCGGTCGTCGACTCTTTCACCCCGACGTCTCGATCCTGGCTTCGACTGCACCGTCTGGGCAATTGGATTTTGCCACGTATCAGGCCGTTTGGCCTAAGCGCTTTTTTCTGTCATACTTCTCAGAAGATCGCGACTCGTGAAAGTCGGCGGCGACAACAAGCGGCCATGTCAACTCCGACGGCGTTCCCGTCTCTTTCATGTTACTTCGTACCGGCGACATGTACTTGACCTTGAGACTTGAAGCTCACGACTTTTAATTTTATCCAAAGGGCATAAATATATTAATTATTTTTAAATACATATACTTGACCCTAAACCCTAAAGACTTAATCGGAACTATGGTAAGAAATGGGGGAAAATAACCTCGGAAAGAGACCAGAATAAGCTGGGCTTCCTGAATTCCACCGTCTCAACTTCATAATTTGTCTTCCAAATAATCCTAGTTCAGATTATACTTTCGAGCACTAGGACTCTTAAGTTCCACAGTGTCACCATATACGGAAATTGCACATTGGGTTCTAGTAGCTTCGATTGCTTTTGCCTGCTTGCAGCTGTCTGGATAAAGTTGTAGCTTTATTAGGCCTGTCATGTACAAACTAGAATTCAATTAAATCTAAAGCAGAATGAAACAGTTCATATATTTCATCCCATTCGCATTCATGTATGTATCAATTGATAATGTTTATTTTAAATCATTTGATAAAATTCGTTCCCTAAAAATTTATTATCAGATCACTTTGAATTATTGTTTGAATTATTGTTATTGAATATATTATTGAATTTAAGATAGGATGATTAGATAAGAAAAATCCCTGATAAAGGCATAGGAATGTTAAAAAATATTTTTTAAAAAATTAATCACCTAATATATTATTTTTTTATGTTTTTGGAATGAACATTGACCGATTCAAAATAACATATGTATATTGTTTAAAGCCAAAAATTAGTTTCAAAAAATATATCAAAAAGTCTTTTTTTAAAGCACATCTTAATAATGCATCTCAAAATAGTAAGTATGATATCTGATAAATCATAATAAATTTTCTTATATTTAATATATAGTTATCACTAGATTTCCAATTTATATGAATTGTATAAAGATAAACATCTGTTACAAAGACATTATCATTATCAATAACATACGGATATTAAGATCCACATCCACGTATACAAGAAAAATTCAAAATTTTCTAATGATTTGATTTGAAATTATTCATATGAATCAATTTGCAAACGTTGAAATTACTTGTTGCGTGATGCATTTAAACATGAAACCTATCAAATAAATATAAACATTGTATATCGTTACTCATATTTAATTGCAGATTAAAAATTCAGTATGATTGTCAGGTTTGCATGCATTTGGGTAAAGAGGGGTAGCATATTCCATAAGAAGACACGACTTCTTTGCACATTGCCATTAGAGAGGTTTATTTGGCCTTTGCTTTTGTATTCCCTGGAGGCTTTGCCATAGCTCTTTATACTTCATGTATGGCCCTTTGTAGAATACGGAGAAAATCTGACGAAAGCCAAGTGAAAGGGCACGTCGAAGAGAAAGTCTGTCAGAATGACAGTGAAGCTCGGATTGCAGTCTGTTTCTAGTCGCCACAGGAGGTTCGACCATTAGAAACCGATTGTTGTGGTTACTTACAGACGTACCACTACGGGCTTGCAGGTATGATCAGTATGGACTTCCCTGCACGACGGAAGTCTCCAATCTGTTGGACATCGGTACTGAGAATTATCGAGATGGCAGCTTCGTCTCGCTCAAGATTCGAGTCGAGAACATCACTTGAAACACCTCTAGCAGCCAGAATCGACAACGAAGAAGCTACCGTCGCTCGGGAGAGGGCAGAGGGGGAAATCCGAGGCTCGGTTCTTCAAAGAATCCCTTGTGAATTATTATTAGAATTATTGTTATTATTGTCGTGAAGGTGAAATACGAGCATGCAACATTTTGAAGTCGAGAACAAAGTTGGGCATCTTTTCTGAAGGTCAAATGAGGGCATTGATTGTGAAAAGTGCAACTCGCGGATTCACGTCAAACTTGGGCTCCACATCTCAGGCGATCACCCAGCGACGGACAAGCTGCAGATCCCGGATATCTATCATTAGATCTCGGTCGAGGCTCAAGAAGCAAGCAAGGATCAATGGCACCCTTCTCACCCTCCCTCCCTCCCTTACTCCCTCTCCGTTTGACATTTCTCACTAGAAGGAGCTCAATTACTGTACCGCAGTAGGCTTGATTTGGGACAACGAGATCATGACAACAGGACCAGTGCAGCAGATAGACGATAGCAACATGGAAAATATTCTCTTCTTCCAATGGGAGATGTCGCGAACAGGACAAGGGGGAGTGGCACAGCTGTGCGGATCGAGGAAGATCAGTGTATGTGTTGCAGCACATGGCTGGATATGGTGGCAGTCGAGGAGAAAAGTAAACGAGCGACGAAGCAAGCGCACTTACTTTTCTTGCCCTCGGTCGATGTGTAAGTTCCACATTTTCCTCCAGCAGCTTCGAGAGCAGTGGAAAGTGTAGACGCCATCTCGCTTTTCTGCTCTTCACTGTGCTCTGCTCTGCAACGAAGCTCGTGGAATCTCGCTGCGGTATCTCTCCTCACTGGCCTGCACTGATGTCAACCACAGCTCGTCTATCTATCTTCATGATTTCCGGTACGGCCTTCGCCTTTACAGTCAAAAGTCAAAATTCGCATGCACAGCGGATGATGCCTCCACTTGGACTGGAGTCTAGCCATGCGGCGCCAACAGAGCAGAGCTCAGCTCCTCCTTCCCCGTCCCATGTGTTCTCCTTTTGTTCCTCTCGCGCTGCATGTTCGCCCGTGCAGGTGCATGCACGCACGCACGCGACCTTCGAACGCACCGCGGTTGTGTCGGACGCAAGAAATTCTCTGTCACCACATCGCTGGAACTGCAAGACATTCCCAAGTCCATGAAGGGGCCTTCGCAGCCAGAGCCACGATGCATCCATTCATCCATTCGAAGGCTCCCGATGCCTCCTCTCTCCGCCCTCTGGCTCGCAGACCGAGGGGGCTCGTGTGTCCGTCTCGATCGAATGACACCTCCCCCTCCGCTGCTGCTGGAACTCGGCAGAGGGGGGAGGAGGGACGTTCGATCTATTCTGCCTGTTACAACGGTCGAACCACGTAGCCACGGTCGAGCCTGTCGGGGTTGACACCTTCATTCATGCTACTGCGTCTTACTGAGTAACTCAGTCCCGTGATGGCCGTAGTTGCCGGGGGGATTGAGCCCACCATCCAGCCCATTGTTCTCTTTCTCTCTCTCTCGTGCCACTTCTCTTCCTCTCTTTCTCTCTGTGTCTGACATTACAACACAAGTTGAAGTTGGCCAGTTGAAGTTGGAAAGGGTGTGATGGTCGAAGCTGTGCGACAGACGAGCCTGTGGGTCAGTCCTGTTGCAGTTGACTGTATGGTGAGACTTGAGTTTTCAGGTGAGAATGTCTCTTTGGTGACATGTCTTCAGAGAGAGAGAGAGAGAGAGAGAGAGTTCGTTAGAGGTTGAGAAGGGTAACCTTTTTTTTCTGATGTGCATTAATTGGAATATCACACATCAGCCTGTGTTTCCGGATCTGCTGTCACCACTTGACGGGCCTTGCCTTGCACCCTGCGGGTAGCTGAGAGAGAGAGAGAGAGAGAGAGAGAGAGAAGCGGGTCAGCCGGGCGGGCATCCACGGGCTAGCGAAGAAATTTCGCTCATTCCAGTCCAGCATTATGATGCAGATGGCCATTGGCTATGTTTGGCATGCAAGCTGTCGACGGTGACGCAGAAGTCAGTTTGACAGTGAGACCGAGAGTTCTGCTCAGATGGCACCTCTCCCACATAAGACCTCCGGCACGAGCCTCGGTTGTCAAACGGTTTCCAGCCTCTGGTCGATGAGATCGGAGCTCCGATCTCACTCATACCCAATCAACTCATCCCAAACAAACGAAGTCGTAGAATGAACCGGCCTGCTCGAAGGTGCTAATCATCGGTTTCCGAAGCATGCGGTGCTGGAGGTCGGAACTTGATGCAGGAAGCGACCTCTAAGCTCCAATCTGCATCCGGTTCCGGCTCGTCTGCTGGAGCGAAACGACCTGCTGCCGAGCTGCGGAATGGAGTGGACCTTTGCTCATCATGGCGGCAGAGGGCCGCCCAATATTCCTCCCTGCGGTCTCCCTTCCTGGTGTCGGGCCTGCCCTTCGAGGCAGGCAGCGAGGACGTCAGAGAAGATACTCAATTTCATGTGAATCATGTCTGGGGGAGGGGGGAAACTTGCGTCATCAATGCAGTTCGGGGCCTCGGGGCTGCGAGCTCCCGGGATGTCGTGGATCCGTCTCCCCAGACAGACTGCGGCCAAATATAGGCGAAATCTTACTGGACATCTACCCATGGCTTCGCTCGTAGGCCCAGGCACAGGCCCGAGCTCTCGAATGGCAGGACGAGGTCAAGGCGAATCGGGCCTTGGTCTGCCATCTACTTATTGCCCGTCCCTGCGTTGCTGGGGAGCGGTGGATCGGGGATCGTGATCCATCAGTACAGTACAGCGCAGCTTCCTGGATTCCCGACGGGCATGAATAGCGCTCGTTCGTCTTCGCACCATGGATTGATTCATGGAAGGTCTACTCCTGCTTTGTAGACTAGACTTGCTGGACCGAGTCTATCCACTGCGCTGCAATCACGAGAGCTCGAGAGCTCGAGAGCACGGGAGCACGGGAGGCACTTTCGAGACTCCTAGCGAAGTGCTGAGAAGAGAGCTCTCCTCTTTCCTCAGTGTGGACCGACGGCCCCCGATCGTAAGAGCGAATGACGAACGCTGCTGATCGATTCCCCCTCCGCATTCGCCCTCGCGTTGCCCAGTTCCAAGGGAAATGTCAAACTTGGGGACATTGAGATCTCAGGACCTCTGTGTCGTCGAGTCGAGATCAGATTATTACTTTTCTGTAGACGCCGATTTGGCCATGGCTCCTGTGGCTATGACGGCTCGAGATCTCGCTGACGGAAACGTCTTCCCACGGCATTCTGTCATGGGCTGCGTCGTCGCTCCCTTTGCTGCAGGTGCTCGACAATGGAAGTCATGTGGTGGTGGAGTGCGAGCGATTCCTCTGATCCTCTGTGATCCTCGTCTGTAGGAAAGGATCGACGTCCTACGAAGATGAATGATCACGAACGCCCAATGCCTTATCAAGAAACGAGGTGTGTCCAGACTTCCGATGTCCAGACAAATGACGCATTTTGTGCAAGGGTTCCGACAATGAAAAAGCTCGAGCAGGATCATCATGCCTCGATGATCGGCCGAGGGAGACCACTGTCTAGTGCACGACTGAGAGTGTCCATTCCTTCAGCCTTCTTGCTGATCAGATCATTATCTAATCGGGAACACTGTCCCTCCGCAGAGAGCTTGAGGAATCTCTGCAATGTGGCATTGAACCTGCCTGCCTTCCTTCTCGATGTTCTGCATAAAGCTCTCAGCCCAAATTCTTCGACATGTTAAGGCCAAAACCTCCAGCCGTCCTAGATGAGTCCGAGCCACGCACGTGGGGACACACCAGGGGAACTGCTGTAGAAGCCTCCACATAAGATGAATTTGACCCGCACTAGCGTCGAGAAATGTCAAGAAATCCTCGAAGACAATTCCAATGGCGGAATGCCCGAGTTCAGCAGCCCTGCAGTCCAGGGACTGTGTGAGGAGAGGAAGCAAGGTGACGAGCGGCTGCACCGTGCCACAAGGCCAACGATCCATAGATCCAAACAATGGGCGAGCACGCGGAGGCAATGAATGCTATAACCTTCGATTTGAGGCCCCAGCTCAAGCAGTGAACTTGAATAATTCAATCAATTCACGAGGTGCATTCGCACGTGTGCCCGCCCAGCTCTTTCGGAGACGCTTTACAGACTCGAGAGTTTCAGGCTGCAGATGGTCCCAACGTGATCCATCGGAACAAGGTCATCAACTCATTCGGATCCGAAGGCCCTCCCTAGCTCCTTCCGATTTTACCCTGACGAAGTCATGACATTGGCAACGCCGCTGGCTGCTTCTGCTGCTGCTTGGACAATTAACAAACGAGCTCAAGGAATTTGGAAAAGCACTTTCTCTTTTCCCTTTTCCCTCGCAGAACGAGCAGAAGCGTCCAGTACACAGAATCTTGTGGAATTCTCTTTCAGGTGTGCACACACACTCATCAATGTTCATGTGAAAGCTCCCAGAGTTCGATGATTCATTCACAAAACGAACTATTATTACGAGTACAGCCATGTCCTTGGAAGCTTGTATAGGCACCGAGAAATCAATGAAGAAGACGAAGAATAAGTGGTGGTAAAACTTTGAAATCTCTGTATTCTTGGAACGTCGACATTTTAGTCCTTGAAGACACATACGGCAGATAAGTTGCAGGCCTGCGACCATAGGTCACCTGATCATTCATGCATGTCAGCAGTAAAGCATGTTCCCACAAAAGATCGGGGACTATTATTATTTTCAAGGAAGAATATTGTAGAAGGAGGAGCCCGACGGTGGATTGGTGCTGTTCTCTTCAGCGCAGCTCGGGAGTAATTTCTTTTGAGACAGAATGATATCATTCTGCTAAAGCTGATGGATGGATGTGGTGTGGTGTGGATCGACCCTTGGCGGATAGTCGTTCTCGAGCTCGTGCATCCTTTTAGTTTCACCTGGCCCTCGTTCGGAGCTTGCTGATGAATGATGATGGATTTGTGTATTGGTACCTAGAAAGGTGTCTTTAAGAAGATTGACTCCACTCTGACAGTCGGTTGTCAGATCCTACCGTAGGCGTTGGAGTTATCTTGGTCCCAATGCTGACAGAGTTGGCTATGTCCAAGTCGTTTGACAAAGTAAGTACTGAGACGTCGGATTCTGAGCGATGAGATTAGAGGCACGGCAAATACTTATTTCGCAGACAACGACGAAGGATTGACTCGGGTTCTACCACCTTACGCAAGAGATCGTCACTTTTCCAGCGAGAATGTACATGAATTCGGTTTTCATTGCTCTGTGTTTGATGAGATCCCCGACATGTTTGACACATTCACAGTATCATCAGACGGAAACGTGTGATCTAACTTTCCAGCATGCGTATAATCTGAGCCAAATCGATACTCTCTCGTCCAGGCTGCGTGCTGCCTGGTGAACAAACGTCGTTGTGAAACTCCTGTCAGGAATTCATGCTCGACACTAGAGGAATGATCTCCCGTGTGAAAATGTTTGCAGCTTCCTCACATTCCAGAATGACCCACTGACTTTTCTGGACATGAATCCAACTCGCAGTAGTACTTCTCTAGAAGCTAGGTAATGATTGGGAGCCATGATCGAATTCACATAATCAGGCACCAGGGTCATTGCCTGAGGGCCTGAACAACAAGAACAGGTAAGAAGGACGAATCCTACTCGCGCACTGAGCCACAAACCCTGAACTGGACGAAAGTGCACTTATCTCTTCGCGCTCCAGATCCTAAACTCTGCTCGATTTCTGCGCAATTCTACTGAAAGCTTTTTAAACCGCAGCAGCATTGAACTGAGGAGTTCTCATCAGCAATCACAAATCCACAAGTTTACCTTCACTCCCTTGAAATTGCGCAATATCTGGAACCTGCAATACATTCAGAATCGGGGGATGAATCTGCAAACTTAGCTTCATTGATTCGTCACCGAGGCGGTCTTCGGGGATGCTCCACTTGTCGGAAGATAAGTGGACGACCACGGTGTCCCGCGACTCGGTGGGTGAAAAGAAGTCGAACCATTCATCCGAAAAAGGTGAGCTGAAGTGAGGCCACCATCTTCTGCAAGTGCAGGGGAAAGTGCTAGGGATGGCATGGCAGGGCACGGTCGCCGATTCCACGTGCGGAGAGCTCAGATGGCTAGTCTCTTGCACATGAACGACTCGCTGCTCTGACTGAGACTGACTGCAGAGGGCGGAGGGATGGATATGTTGCACCAGGTCTTAGCCCTGAAAGCGTACAGCTTGCAAAGACGTGACACATACAGCTTACAGAGATACGGGGAGAGGCAGAGACTCACATGGGGGCTGCACTGCAGTCCACCCACAGCCCGGCTGGTCTGTCTGTCCGGTCTGCCTATCGAGAGAGAAATCGTTACTGTAACCGAGATGACGACAGCACGGACAACAATGCGCCGAAATGCCATGTGAGAACGCCACACCGCCTCCGGAGTAGCGGGGGACGGACCTGTTTGCTGTCCAGAGCTCTCCGGATTAGCACGGGCTCGGACTTCAGACGACCGAGTGGCATCCTGGTTTTCGAGAGCTAGAGCTGCAGTAGCTGAGAGAAGGTGGCCGCCGATGATGGGCCTCATCGACGAGTCGGACCTCGACGTCGTGGGGTGAGGATAAAGATGAGAGTTGCACATTCCCATCTTCCTTGTCAAGGAATCGAGATAGTAATAAGTTGGGCACTCATGGACCAATTGCTGCTACTGGTGCTTCTGCTTTCCTACGAGGTTCTGCATTGGGCCTTTTTGAAGATTCTCTTTCGAGTAGGGAGATTCTTGTGCCTACAATGATAGGAAAATCAGTGCAAACCTGAATCTGGTCAAGTCAAGCCTCAGAGATTGACGTCAAGCTCTGAGGCTTGACCGTTTGACCGGTGCATGGATTGGATGCGCCAGTTGCACTCAATCGTCCATGTGCTGTCAAGCAAAACCGTGATGATGAGTGCTGGAGCAAGTGCTCATGATGCCTTTCACGTGAATTCACATCAAACCTTCTGTGGACGTTTTCCGTTTCATGTCATCTGCAAACTGATCTGAGAATAAGTGATTCTGGGACGCACTTAATGCTCTCTCTGGGCACTCACCCCCTCCACATCCTCAATCAGCTCCCAAGTTAACCTCCAAACGAGAACTGAACGATTTCAGAGGTTGTACCAGACTAGAAAATACAACGTCTGTCGACATGACTTGTAAGGTGAACTCCAAACGTCTGCGGAAGTCGGAAGCGATCTCGTCTGTCGTTCTAATGGTTGGCTTTACTCCGTGTCTATTTTGGGAAACTCTTGGGTTTAAACCCAACCGCATCCTCAGAACACAAGAGTTAGTTAGGAGCACCTGTATGTGGACCCATACATTTCCTACTTTTTCACCCTTCACTGATATTTTACAGTCATATGTCTCTACAGTGGACTTCTTGCTTCAAAGTGTGCACTTGGCGTAGAGTATTTGTGATACCACAGCAGTGGTTTACTCCCAGTGCGTGGTCATAATATCATAAAAACGTGTCCGTGTCTACGAGATATTTAAAAGCTAGAAAAGAAATCCAAAAGTCAGGACTATGTCCTTGGACACGTCCTGAAAGGAACTGCGTTACCGGCTCCGGTTAAAACACCCAAAGGATAACACACAACAAAATAATCGAACACATAATGCCAAATTTGAAATAATAACAATCCGCGAAAAACTGGAATCAGTTCACAGTTCGTACACAACGAAAATTAACCACACACAATGGAAAGAGCAGATTAGAAACATCGAGGCCACATGAGGAAATTCTTCATATCCAATGTGATTGTCAAAATTGTTATTAGGCCCTTTGGAAATATTTCACATTATTCTACCAATAGGTGAACCCAAAGGATTCCTGAAGCAAAGAACCCGAGGAACAAATTGATTTTAATTCTAAAGCTGCACTACACAGCTAACAACGCTATCACTATACACCATACCTAAAGAATGTGAACGTTTGGGTTGATAAGCGAGAGCTTTGAATATATGCATTGCAAGTAACCCTGTCAGTGCGTATTGCTCCAGAGTTCGTTCCTACAGAGTATGGGTTGAAAAAATCGCCTACGGTACTCGTTTCTTTATGGCTGACCAGGCCAACGTCTAAATTGACGAGGACGTCTCTGAGTACAGTCTAGAGAAAATGACCAGCCCCTTAATCTGTCTTCCGCTCTACGCCCAGCCTTTCGGCGAAGTCTGCAGCCATCAAGGGAAGTCCCTGGTGTAGGGACACCTGAAAAACATTTACAGCATAAGCAAACCATTTGTCTTGGATCTTCAAATTTCCTAAACGTTGAGGAATAAAAACTATCACATAAGACGATAAAGTCGGTTCTACACGTGGACAAGTTGGCAAGGAGGATTTGATACTTACTGTAGGTGCCCAGCCAAGTAGCTTTGTAGCTTTGGTAATGTCAGGTTTTCGCTGACGAGGATCATCAGGAGTGTTCTCGGTAATTTTGTAACTTGCTTCTGGGGCAATAAGCTGAAGAAAACAAGGTACAGAAAAAGTCAACCCTTCAAGACCTTGTTCGAGACTGATTGAAGTCTGACAACCTAATAAACAACTAACTGTATGAAACAATGAATCTGAACTTGAACAAGTTGATGGATTGAGAAAGCCATAGCACTGCAGTTTTGGACTTTGGATACTCTCCTGTATTGCTCAAACGTGAGCTTTTGACAACATATATAGAACATCATGAACTTAGACTATGGTCAGTGGACTGATGCCTGTCACCGAACGTGCTTACAACAGTAAATTGGCAAGGTATTGTTAGTCAATAATCAAACACGAACCTCTTTTACAGCTTCGGCAAGCTCCAGCATGGTAAATTCGCCTGAAAGAAATGAGCGCATTTGTTAAGATGTGAGGCTTTCTTGTATATATGACCATCCAAGACAAAAAAGATACTGATGAGCAGCTTTGACACACAACAGTCATGCATAGCATCTACGGCAAAGACTTACTCTGATACCTATCCGTGACAAAGTTTACACTTCCGAAAAAATCTGGTAAAGAGAGATGCACATCTTTCGCATGCTAAAACTTCTTCCGTAAGTGAGGTAAGCATGCAGAAGATTGGACAGAGAATGTTTAGAGCATTGACTGTCACCTGGGTTGCCAATGTTGATAGGGCCGGTGTTCTCTCCTCGCATAAGTTTCATTAGTCCATCAACCTGCAACCAGATCATTTGTCCGCCAGTCTTGATTAACACTCACCCTGAACTTCAAAATACTCATCAATCTTCAAGAGACACTAATCTTCACCATCGGTGCTGAAAGGGTTCAGGTTCATAAAATTGCGTTCATCTGCATTCCACACAATCACATGCAAGAAAAACTCCAGGCAGCTGGAAACATACCATGTCTGAAACGTAACAGAAGCTGCGAGTTTGAGTTCCTGGCGCTTGAACTGTCATCACTTCACCTCTGCAACAGCCGAAAACAAGAAGGATAAAGCCGTAGGGTTAGCAACAAGAAGAATCTAACACCATCAAGTAATACATCGTGTGCACGTGCTCTCCTCGAAAGTAATGCACTCATTCGGACTTCGTCCTACTGTCGATAAATACTCTACATACTGGCTGACTACACAACCAGAAGGCTTGATGAGAAAGTACAACAAGCACTTTGTAACGGACAATTAAGAAATATCTGTGTATAAAAGCTTAAAATTATCTGCCTCAAATAACAGGCGCCGATCTAATCTTATCTAATTAGTGGCGAAATCTCCATCCCATTGAACAAGAATTATCTTTGAAGTGGAAGAAGGACAACAGGGATGATCACCTTAAAGCTTGAGCAATGAAGTTGCTCACAACACGCCCATCGTCGATATTCATGCGTGGACCGTAAGTGTTGAAGATTCTTGCAATTCTGATTTCTGTTTGACATTGGCGACCAGGACATAGAACCTTGATGAGCCAGGGCTATAGAGAGCCTTTTTCCCTGGTCAAAATACCAGTTTACAAACATGCTTCATTGATTCATCATGAAACAAATGAGTTTTGTGTGAGATATCAGAGGCCAACATTCGATTCCAAGAAATCGATTTTAGGATCATACCAACTCCATGTTGTCTGTGGTAGTCGAACATCAGAGTTTCTGCAACACGTTTTCCTTCATCATAACAACTCCTTACTCCTAAATACAGAAGCACCACTGGTGTTAGAATGATTAACTCTTAAGGTTGACAGCAATCTCTTCTACAATAGAGCACCCACTGCACCACTTTGCACCAGGTTTGAAATTATTCAGGATGTCATGAGTTTGCCATGATGAAAAGTTTTGAAAGGAGAGTTGTTCACCGATTGGGTTGACATTTCCCCAGTATTCTTCCTTCTGTGGGTGCTCCAGAGGATCACCGTATACCTCGGAGGTCGATGTTAGGAGAATCCTGCTCAACACAAATGGAATGTCAATAATTAAACACACAGCGAAATAATCGATGTCCTCTTGAGAGTGTGGTAGACAGTGGCAGAAGGTACAAGGCTAGTTAAAAATCGGAAGGATCAGTTTAAAAAGAAAGTTCTCACTCCTCAATCAAAAAATCTCCCACGGTCCGACAATGGTGTTCATGCAGTCGGGTATGATGCAAATCGTTTATTCACTACAATCACCAACGAGCTTACCCAAGACTAAAAGCAATAAAATGTCAGCAAAGCTCACAAATATCAGTCCATACCTTGCTCCGACACGCTTAGCCAAACCGAGCATATTCAAGGTACCCATAACATTTGTTTTGATCGTCTGTCATGAGAATCAGCGGATAAGTAAGAAAACTTGATAGGAAAAAAGGCGTCAAAAACGTCAACTTTGAACGTACAGCCAAAGCGCGTTCTCGGCTTTTTGATTGTTATAAAAATCTGCTGTCATGAGAAAAGAGAACATAAAAGGATGAACTGCACATAACTTACCTTCACAGGGTTGTGCTTGTAAAATATTGGTGACGCTGGGCAAGCCAAGTGGTAGATCTGATCTACTTCAACTAGGAGAGGCTCTGTGACATCTGGAAGAGAAAAGGATATCGGTTAGACCAAAGGGACATGTAGCATGATGATAAATTATAGAGCTATGTCGATAAGCAACCAATCATAGGCAAACAGAACTCACTAAACACTGCGACTATGAGAATGTCAAAGCCTGGTGAAAGGCTTTGACACTGAGTAGGACTTCTTATTTTCTGAACACAAAAAAGCTTGTAATGAAGTTCAACCCTATGAGTAATTTACGTTTCAGAAACGGAATGCCTTCATCTAATGTCGGCGGACTTACCATGACGGATGAGTTCAAAATTTGGGTGTCCCATCCAGCGCTTCAGATTCTCCTTAGTTCCTGTGAAAAAGTTGTCTGCCACAATGACCTGCAACAGAGAATTGAAGAGAAGTCCATAAACTTAGTGCGAAAATTTGCTTCGAGATGTAACAGAATAGTGTGATGCGTATAAAGGATATGAGATGCGTCTTGCTTCAAACCATACCTCATTCGTGCCTTCTTCCATCAGGCGATCCACCAGATGTGAACCTATGAAACCGGCTCCTCCAGTGATCAGAATCCTCATCTTTGCCTGCACAAAAAAAACTTGCATGAGTAGCCAAGAAACAGTCACCGATCGCTGCTCACGTCACAAGTAGAAAGAAACATAAACAGACGGAGACCCAGTAGGTATATGGCGGAAAATTAAACTAAAATATTTGACTTGCTAGGATTTTATGAGTTTAATCCGGCTTAACCAAGAAGGAAAGATTGGGAAACAATCATCTAAACTCGCAAGAGAATTCCTTGAGAACTTTCAACATATATATCAAACAATTTGTTGCGTTCATGGTTTGATTGCAAAAGACACAATATTTCTTCAATTCTCCACACAAGTGCACTCTTTCCCAGGTCTCAACGTTTGTTGATATGAAGCCGTACGAATGACCCTTCAGCATTACAAGCTTCTGACATAAATTTCATTCAATTTTCAAAACAGCGCTATGCAAGGATGCTCGGCTGTGTAATTTTGTGGATTTAGATGAGCTGCAATAATTCGGCTTAATTCTAAACATCAAAGTCATAAACATCAATAAACAGCTACTTCTTGAAACTGTATCGCCCATTTATGTTCTGGCATGTACGAGGTGATTCCAGTGTTGCGGGGCAAATATTTCTAGTTCATGAAAACGAAAAAGAACCACTGATTCCGATGTGGTTAATAAAAGGGCTCACACCAGGAACAAAGAGCCGATTAGTCCTATACGAAAAGTAATTGGGCCCGCGACCTTTCGGAACCTGTTACGTTGTTATAACCAAGCGTGCAATTCATCAAATCAAACTACATCTGCCTTACATAACTCACAAGCTGCGGGTTTGACTAATAGATCTTAGGTCCACGATAGTTAAGATATACAAGCAAAAAGAAAATTAAACCTTGCGAATATATTCGCCAGATGTTATCGACACTAACCGTGGTGTACTTCGACGATCGCAGCGGTGAAGGGGTGGGAGGAGGCTTGCTGACGGCCCCTTCGCCATTAGTAGCAGTACCTCCGTTCATGATGCCTGCACGCAAACATCGATGTGAAGGCCAATTCAGGATTTCGTTGCAGTGAAACAGGATAACGTCCAAAAACCTTTACCAAACACCTTCTCCTGCGTTGAAGCTATCTTTGGCGTCACAACATGAACTAATTCCACTTCCAAGGTGGTCTACTGATGGTACTGGAGATCGGAAATGATCGGTATGCACCGCAAACAAAGTACTGAGTAAATGTAGCTAAATGGTCAATAGAGATCACGCTGCTGAGCATACAGGAGATGTTTCTCAAGAACAGCCTCCAATTGATACCAAATTGCAAGAAATGGCTACAATGTAGCACCTACTTTGGTCATGTTCTGTTCAGGAAGGCTTTTAGTTTGGGTCCACCTACTACATCACATGTCCCTCACATTCTCGCAGCTGTCACCGACAAAAAATGAACTCCTGAACAAGTCAGTTTGTGCTGACAGCAGCAAGAGGACAGACTATCGCTGCTCGAGGAAATGCGTCGAAACCAATGACGACGTGGGCAAGGATGAGAATGTGAAGAGAGACCAATTCGCACAGAAAGGATCCATTGGGGGGCAGAGAACATACACATCAAACGGAAAGAGAAAAAATTGAGAGGCGGATCTTGCCTCACTTTGCGATATCGCGGGCGAAAGACTTCAGATCTGATCCTCGTGCAGGAGCTGTTCCACAATCAAAGCAGACACACAATTCCTCCGACGTCAAAACCACGAATCTCCGTTTCCCATAACACAATTTGACAAGATAATTCCTCAACGGACCAAAGAGATCGGCGAAAGCTCAGGATCAAACCACTCGGCCAAGCTCAAGCCTCGCAACAACAGCAGGAGGACGCTACACGCTAACACCCAACGCCAATCTCTCTATCTATCACCGTCCTCCCCGTCCCACATTGTACGAAGCTCTCTCGACGTCCTTCTATCTTCTATCTCTTCGTTCGTTCTTCGACGAGCTCTCTTGCTTTCTTTCTTTCTCGCCCACTCGAGCTCGCACGCACGCACACAAGGGCGCGCGCAAAAACAGACACACACAGAGAGTGAGAGAGCGAGACTCACACGATCCTGGCGCCACGCCCACCACGCCTGCCTGCAACAAGAAGCAAGGGATCCGGGGAAGCGGAAGGCAATGAAGTTGCCCTGTGCAGGCTCCCTTTTCTCCTGCTGCTGCAGGGCTGCCTGCTGCGTCCGAAATTCCGCTGCCTAATTAAGAATTGCCAATTTACAATGAGACGAGCTGGCCACTGATCCGATATCTGCTAAGCGAAAAGCGCCCCCTCCGGCCCTCGGGCCTCCCTGTCGCCCTCTGCGGATGCCGACGATCGCTATTCGCTTCACACGCCCCGTGCTCGGGCATTCATTCCCTCTCGCTCCGCTTCCTCGTCGCTGCGCTGCTCTGCCTCTGCTCTGCTCGGCGACGAGCGCTCCAACATTTTGTGTGTGTGCGCACGACAGCAGCCGCACGCCCGCGCTCACGACCTCCGCACCAATCGATCGCCCTGCCCGTCCCGGCCCGTCCCCCAGCCGCCTCGAGGATTGGTCGAGACGGACGCGCCCTCACGACGCCCGTCGCCACGCTGGCGCCTCTGATTGATTGCTGCGCGCGGGCCCACCTCGTCGTCGCCTTCGACCCGCGCGACGGCAACTTGGCGTCGCCGCCGATCGCACCCTGCTCCCCGCTCCCGCGTGAATGCCGCTTTCGCGAGAGAGTCGAGTCCCGCCGATTGCGGTCGGAGCCGGAGATCCCCCGTTCGGGCATCCCGCCAAAGCCAGCGGACCTTTCCCCTCGCTATTCCTCGTTGGCAGAGTTGTTCCGAAATTCTTCGCCCAATTCTCGCAAAAGCTTCTTCATATTTTCTTCATGACATTTCTTTGAGCACTTTCCACTCTTTACTCTTCCCACAATTTATTCATGAAAAAAACCGAGGGAAAGGAATCTTTAAATCTTGTTGGATCTTTTACTCTTTCAATTGATATCGCTTCTATAATATATCTACAATTTATTCATGGAAAAATGTAAGGGAAAGAAATCCTTCAATATTGCTGGATCATTTACTCTTTCAATTAATATAGCTTCTATGATATTTCTACAATTTATTCATGGAAAAATATAAGGCAAAGGAATCCTTCAATATTGCTGGATCTTTTATTATTTCCATTAGCTATCGCTTTTATAAAATTTTTACAATTTATTCATGGAAGAAAATGAGGGCAAGGAATGCTTATACCTTGCTGGATCTTTTATTATTTCAAACATCGATTGCTCCTTTAATATTTCTACAATCTATTCATGGAAAAAAATGAGGGCAAGTAATCATTGACACCTGGTGGATCTCTAATGCTCTTGATTAACTATCTAAATAGTCACGAATATTCCTGCGTTGTTTCTCATAAATCATATTCCAATATTATCAAGGTTTTTTTAAGTCTGAAGATCACCGTAATGGTTCCATGGAGTTCTTTTGGCTAGTTGCATCGGTAGCATTGCATGTATGTTAACAAAATATTATGCACTAGATTAAAGAGCATGATTTTTTGCGATAGACTAAACACTTGCAAGATTAGAATTATGCATGTATAATATAATTTAAAGATCTTCCTTATTCTTTCCTTGATATTTTCAAATAGCTTATTGATCAGGGATCATTTTTCGTCACATCATGATACGATGAGGAGGTTTTAATAGACAGTTCTGGATATACATCCAGATTGGATTCTGTTGCATATCAACATAAATAACACATTAAATAATGAATCACTGTCTTTCATGTAAACATTAAAATTTACTTTGAATAGTGTATTTCTCGCAAGAGACAAATAAGAGAATCGAGTGGACTTTTATCGTAGTTAGGACATTTTGTGAATACATTTATACAATGTATATTTTTGCTCTCCCATATATTTGTTCTTTCTATGATAAAAAAAAGTCCATCCTTGCGATAACATAAGCTTAAAAGATCACTACGATCACAAGGAATGATTGAATAGTACATCGTCTTCCAATGTCCACCATAGATTAGACTCGTAACTCTAATCTAATTTGTGAGGAAAACATTATATGCTTTTAGCTATGGATGAAACCTACACTTCACAAAAAATTCAAAGAGTGTTCTTTCATGTCAAACCTTTTGTCAAGCATGCAGGAATACATTCGATGTCACAAGAAATATACATTTCTTTATAGTAGAAAATTTTGAATGTGACACGAGTGTTAGTGCATAGGTAGAATATTAATGACAGAAGAGACTATATCAAAGACTGTATGAAGATCCCTTAATAAATAATATCAATGTACGTGCATTACGTTTCATGCAGGTGTCGGGTGTATGAGTAACGTGACAAGCAATTTTTTAATCCCAGTCTCATTTCTCCCCCTGGCTCTTCCTCATAACTCACCGACACTTCGCACAATCGACATCAGTTCGAATAAGGAGACGTGAGTCGGAATCGAATCGAATTTCGGTAGAATGTCGGAGTGCATCTCCCGTCGCTGTTCGGCCCTGATTCTCGTGGTAGCGGACGATTTGGCGTTGGCGCGGTTCTTTCTTGTCCTCCGTCACTCCGTACTTGCCGGTCTATTGCAAGAACTCGAGGCTTGGGTCTTTGGCCTTGTGCTCCACGGTCAGTGCGTGAGTTCCTTCCCCCACGATGCTTCCCTCGGCTTCCCTTCTCTTCGCCTTCACTGATTACAGGCCAATCAAAAGATGCATGGAAGGAGCTTTCAATATCCCTCTAAGCAGGGAATCAAAGGGTCCAGAATGTATTGGGACGCAGTTCATTGTGGTGGTGGTGGTGGTGGTCCCGACATGATTTTCAGTATTTTCTGAGACCCAATGCACTCGATAGCGAGGAATTTGAGCCTGCGAATAGAGTGCTAAATTTGTGAAAATGCCGAATCATGAAATCAGGCCGGCCGTGTCATGATTTCCGCACTCTGTACTATATTGAACGAATTTTCTTAACTGGCAAGGTTCTTGAAATGTACCACAAAATACGGTCTCTTCTTTGGTATCTCGGCTCGTACAACAAACCTTGTTTCTCCTGCTCAGATCTCTGAAGTCAGATGATTTTTCTCATGCAGCCCTACCTCGTACGCACTCATTTCACGTTGAAAGCATCACAGGATTTTTTGTATCGACCCTTTACTTAGGCCTTCCTATTCAGAGAAGCAGTTGTGAGTAATGTATATGACAAAAGGGATGGACCAGTCCTACATTGATAAAACCAGAGGCTAAGCTGGAGCTTGACCTCAATAACAGACTTAACTGAGAAACATGTCATAATGCATCTTAATATCCCAACTCTCTAGATCAAACTGTACACATGGTAAAGAATCTTTCAAAGAAGCATGAACTGACATGACTCTTCTTCAGTGCAGCACACTAACAAATGATTTTTGTGCGACCCCACTTCATCAATGATCTTTGTACATTTATGGATACACATCACTTGAAATAGATTACAAAATCTGAGAAGTATAAGTTCGATACATATATGTAATATATGAGAATCATATAATATTACACACTCTCTCACAAGTTGTTTTACACCCCAAACATGATATTTGTAGCTAGTTCCAACTAGATTCGAATAGAATCGACAGGAGAGAAAAATTAAGCTATGAGTCAGATGTGTTTATAAAAACCCATTTTGAACTTTGAAACTTTGAACGCTTTTAGTTCATTTCTTACAACTGTCCATGGTTTCACTTTGTGGTACCAATTGATCAAAATTCAATTTTATAACTTCACGATTATAAAGTTCTATACACTTTTCGTAGTCTACTCTTCCCTCTCTCCAAGACCAAATCTTAAGTCGACCCCACTGTGCCGATCAAGAGTGATTCCTTTAATCCCATGCTTGACTTGGAAGTTATGTGAACCTTTCCGTTCTATTCTCATATTCGACATCTGAACAAGTGAGATTTCAACTGAAGGTGCGTCACACATCCAGAACTGTTATGGTGGTGGTTGTTAAACTCGCCCCCTTGAAAGCTGTAAAGAAGATCCCCCAACAAAGTCTCCTGTCAAGAAAGGTATGCGGGCTTCGATCACGATTCAGTAGTCGTCGACCCAATTCCGCCGAAACTGGAAGTCGGAGAAAGCTGGACGAGGTGTGCTGAGTCGTACCGCGTTTTCGCTCTGCCATTCCATAATCCTGGACCCACTAAACTCATCCAACTAATGAAACTAGATCCTGCTGACTTTACAGAGGGGATTGAACTATTTCGACGCCACGTACCTGACATCGAGAGCCTGACATTTTAGACGCACCAACATCGTTGAGAATCGGCTTCCTTGGATTTAGGACTCTGCTACGTCGGCTGAGAATCTGGCGGTTTTTATCACTCTGTTTCTTCACTTCGGCTGAATTTCGGGATCGAGTCGATTACTGCGAGATGCTAAAAGATAGTGCGCTCACAGCAACCTCCTCTTCTTGAAGACCATTGGCCCCATCCGCTTTTGTTAGTCAATTATTATCCAGCTTTTGGAGCTACATGAGTTTGTGCACTCCGTTGTTTATTGCTTTAAAGTTAAGCTGCATCAACGTGAGTGCGCAGGGATGGACTGCATTGTTCGCTTTTCCCGACTGTCATCTTCAAAAGGTGGATGTACGTATACGAGCCCAATATCGCTCAGTTTTTTCAGACATAATTGCGAGAGTGCACTTCACATGAACTTCCATAGGAGAGTTTGTGAAGGAATGACGTACGCAGGAAAGATACGGGATCAAATAATTTGTTCAACAAATTCCCTCTTGCGTGGGATTTTCTGTTTAATATAGGATTAATTCATGGGTGAAATTTTAGTAGAAACAATTCGGTGATCATAAAACAGTATTACTGTCTGACTATATCGAGCTGTCATTTTGACTCCCGGATGCTTATACGAATAAAATACTAGGTGTAACAAGTATGGCTCTGCGATGTCCGACCCATCCAAAGGCGTGTTGGAGCCCAATTCCACAAGTTGTGCCTGATACTCGAGCTGTGCTATCGGTAGTTTCTTGGAAGCGGCCTACACCCTGACCCCTTCGTTTGGCACTTGTCGATCTTTGTTGGCAGTTTGGACGGATCTGTCCAATACTTTAGAGACCTAGTCGAGCGGGTTGGGGCCATCAACCTTCTATGTAATTCGGTGCCACATAAGCGTGCAAGTTGTAGATGTCAGATGGAGATCTGACAATAATTGATGGTTTGCGAGGGGAGTTGTGTCTAGAAGTGTCTTTGCATCCTTTACGCTTCATCAAGCTTTTGAGGTAGTTCTAACTCCTGTTCACATTTCGATGATTTGCCAAATGTGGGTTGACTTGTGGCGGATGTTGCCTACATATGCTACGACTTATAGCAGCTTTTCTTCGAGATCCTGTCGAGCTCACTCGGATCTCGCACCCTGAAGTAGCTGCAGGGTTTGATGGTAGCTAGAAATACTGCTGCTTCGGCAGGCTTCATCAGTTGTGACGACATGTATAACGCGAACGAACACA